TAATTGTATCAATCTGGAATCTACACTACCGCAGGATGCTTCCACATAAGTTTCAGCTTTCCAGCCCACTGGATTTATTATTTCATGACCCCTGCCTTTTTTAATTGTTTTTTTTGATTATCTCCCTTGTAAGAAGGGATTAGCTTTTAATTTTAACAATTCTAACTCCCCTTCACCCAAGGGTGTTTTGTACCAAATTTGGTTAAAATTGCCCCAGTGGATCTTAAGAAGTTGAAAATGTGAAAACGTTTACAGACAGACAATGGGTAATCGGAAAAGCTCACAAGCTTTCAATTCATTTGAGCTAAAAAAGGCACTTGAATGTCACTTTAGAGATATTTCATTTTCATATTGCATAAATATTGTTTGCTGCTCATTAATGATTTTAAATATTTCATGCATTTTAAATGAATGACCCACTTCGCCCCAACATTGGGGACAAGTTTTATAATTTGGTAAAGGAATCCTTACTCGTATCTTCAATAAAAAAGACAAACCAAGCACTATACTTATGCACATTTAATGAAAAAAAAAGTTTTCAAGTCTCGTGTGAGAGCATACATATACATTTCTAAGAAAATGAATTGAATATGAACAACTTTTGAATTCATCAGCTTTGATGAATATTACAAACTAGCTGCCTATTTTGACTGACTTAAAATTAGCAGAAATTTGTCATTTATGCCACTTTTCGACCATTTCAGTAAAATAGTATTTCATTTGTTATATCTAAAATACCAGTATGTTGAAACATTTAAAACAGCACCGTGAACATAAAAAACCTTATTAACAAGAAGATATTACAACACAAATGTTCACGATAACAAAAGAATGAATTATTTAATTTCGCTAGATGAGCAATGACGACAATGTCATCAATTGGAATCAACCACAAAGTGATTTCTTAGCCCTGGGCAGCGTCTACACACTGTATATAAAACAGTATAAAATGACATTTCACTGGAACTAATGCCCCTATCTTCTATAAGGATGGTAGGCTGCCTGTGTCGAGGGCACGGAGGCTCTCTGATACCCCCCGCCTGGTTGGGCTGCGTATCCTCCCACCTGTCCGTCTCCCTGTCCTCCGTACGCTGGGGCTGGCTGAGGGGCTACACCAAAACCTGGAGGATCACCATACCCTGAAAATATCGACAAATCTTGAGAATTGATAATACTTCAACAAGGGTAGATGTAGTGCCATTTGAAGGAACCTGAATCTACGGTAAATATGAAGTGTAACTCTGCTACAGTATTTAATACAAGCTTGTTAGACATGAACTTGTTTTCTAAGCATATGGTGTATTTACAAAGAACAATATTCAAATCAAGCAAGAATTGAACAATTAGTTGCATAGGATTGCATACAAGCACAGGGCATCACTTGAGCAAAAAATTTTTTTTTGAAAGCTCTTATATATCAATCAAAACTAGAACTGTCCAAACGGGACAAAATACCCCACGCTGGGTTTTTCAGAAGTAAGTTTTTCCATAATAAAGATATGTATCAAACACGAATTATGAAATTTTTCTTCCAGTGACCTTGAACTTCCCCAAATGACCTTGGGTTAAGGTTATGACACACCCTTGGGTCATGGGCAATCTTTGAGTGAAATGAGAACCTACCAAGTTTATCCATAAGAAAGATATGGACCGGAAACGAATTATGAAATTTTTCTTCCAGTGACCTTGAACTTCCCTATATGACCTTGGCTCAAGGTCATGACACACCCTTGAGTCATGGGCAATCTTTGTGTGATATGAAAACCTACCAAGTTTATCCATAAGAAAGATATGGACCAGACACGAATTATGAAGTTTTCCTTCCAATGACCTTGAACTTCCCCAAATGACCTTGGGTCAAGGTCATGACACACCCTTGGGTCATGGGCAATCTTTGTGTGAAATGAGAACCTACCAAGTTAATCCATAAAAGATATGTATCAAACATGAATTTTGAAATTTTTCTTCCAGTGACCTTGAACTTACCCAAATGACCTTGGGTCAAGGTCATGACACACCCTTAGGTCATGGGCAATCTTTGTGTGAAATGAGAACCTACCAAGTTTATCCATAAGAAAGATATGGACCGGACACGAATTATGAAATTTTTCTTCCAGTGACCTTGAACTTCCCCAAATGACCTTGGGTCAAGGTCATGACACACCCTTAGGTCATGGGCAATCTTAGTGTGGAGTAGTTGATTCTGATGTCCCTCTGTAAGAAAGATATGGACCGGACACGATTGCACAGACAGACGGACAGACGGACAGACGGACAGACGGACAGACAGACAGACGGACAGACAGACAGACGGACAAGGTGATTCCTATATACCCCCCCAAACTTCGTTTGCGGGGGGTATAAACAAGACTGTTGTGAAAACAAGTACTGTGTAGGAAATGTCCTTGATCATGATCCAACATCACATTTGTCTTTTAATACTTTAACAATAACCAGGCTTAGCATGGCTAGATCAAGTATGAAGCCATGACTTGTAAAGTTATATATGGCTTTATTAGGTTACATGAATAAATTTATTTCCACCTTGACCTTAAACATTAATAATGACCTTGACCTGGTAAAACTTTAACCTGACATTTTACGGACCAAACCTGTTTAAAGTTTTACCCTTTCTACCTCAGAGACTCGGATAAAATTTGGAAATTCATGCTTGACTCTGACTTTGACGAAATCAGGAGCTCTATCTTTACCTTGCCAAAGCAAAAACTGTTGCTAAAGTTTGAAAGTTATGACAAATGTTGACCTTGTAGAAAGGCAAATCATAACATTATAAAGGGTTACTTTCCAAGGGTTTCGTGAAGATTATATCTTAGAGGAAAAATGTGAAATGGCACACATCTGTTTCTTTATCCATCCTACATGTAAGTTAGATTACCAAAATATAAAAAAAATACAAAAAAAAATTTAAAACCAAACTTTCACAAAGGATCTGAGGAATAAATTAAAAACTAATCTAGCTAAATGAATGCACATATTTAATATGTAAATATTAACAGAGTATTTTAAGTAAATAAATTCTGATATCAAAAGATTCTAAGTTTCATGCAAAACAAAAGCCTGGATGTTTAGCAAATTTCCTTAGTTCTGGGGCTGGGATGATTCGGGTTCAATCAATTCGGTTCGGTTTCAGGAGTCAGCAAAATATAATTTAATGATGGTGAAAAGTTCTGAACAGACAGACAAGCACACAAAATAATTTGCAGATAATGGTCAACAGTGATTCATGCTTGTAAGCTTACCAGGGTTAGTGGTAGGTTGTGCTACTGGAGGTTGGGCATATGGGTCAGGGACTCCCATGGGAACCTGTGCTCCTGCAAAGAACCATCTTACCTATTAACTTCTTACTACGCCCAGGGTACTATATTTCCTCCATCTTTGTTTTTACAGTGTACTTTTAAAACTTCCTTTAGACTAAACCTGAGAATTGTATTATGAGTTTAAATTCCTTATACCTGGTGCAGTGGCTGGCTGTGAATTAGCAGCATATGGATCAGGAACTGAGGAGGCAGGTGCCTGTGGGGCTCCATAAGGGTTATAGCCACTGTATCCTGTCTGGGCAGTGGTAGGGGCAGCAGGCTGGGCAGGATCTGCTACTGCTACATCTACAAATCGATCCACACAACACTGTCATTTACAAAATGGTAAATGGTACATAATCTAATGCAAATGTCATTGAACATTTATTGTCTCTTGTGATTTTTTTTTCAGAAATACAACAATATAAATTATACTAAAAAGATAAAGCCAGCACTATTAAGCATGGTTGCTGCCTTTACTCACTGTAATGTGAACTGTAAGTCTGTGTTCCTGGGGCTGCAGTATACCCAGGTGTTGCTGGAGCAGCAGCAGCAGCAGGTGGCTGTCCATACAGGTTATAACTGGGTTGTGCTGGTTGCTGGGTGGTGGGTTGGGCGGTGGCAGGCTGTGGTGCCACTGGTGTGTTTCCTGTGGATCCCCACTGAGAGTATGCAGTAGTGGGGGGCTGGCTATAACCGGGTTGAGGAGCACCATATGCAGAATAAGACTGCTGTGTGTCTACAAAGTTAAGCAATGCCTTATAACAAGTGAAATACATGTAAAGCATCATATACAGGGAAATTTTCCGGCTTGTTTTATTTTTGCTTCTTTCACCCTTTCTTCAGTCAGGAATTATAAATTACAGGAACATAAGAGAAAAAGTTCTCTTTTGTCACATCCATGTCTGAGCTAATTTAAAATACATGTAGGTCTAAAGTATCTGCAATTATGACAGGGCAAAAATTATATTGTTAACAAGAGATGTTTATAAAACACTTATGCCCCCCTCCCCCCCAAATTAGAATTTTTCCAAGTCCAAAGGGGCATAACTCTGTCAAAAATGGCGCGATCGTACCAAAAAGAGAACCTGACTTAATCGATATTCATCTGAAAAATCTGTATACTACCGGGTAAATTTCATTTCAGTATGTGCAACCTCTGCAAAGAAAATGAACGGAAACTGCAAATAATTGGAATTTTTCTAAGTCCAAAGGGGCATAACTCTGTCAAGAATGGTGCGATCGTACCCAAAACAGAATTTGACCTAGATAATCATCTGAAAAACCTGTATACTAAATTTCATTTCAGTATGTGCAACCTCTGCAAAGAAAATGAACGGAAACTGCAAATAATTGGAATTGGACACAGGATCAGTGGAAAATTTGCCAAGATCGGGTTGGCCTCGTTCTATCGACGATCGGGACTATCGGAGGCTCCAGAGGATTGTTAATAGAGACCGGAGAGCACCCTTAAGAGAAATTACAGCACGATTTAATGAAATCAGAGCAACATCTGTGTCTCAGAAGACTGTCAAACATAGACTTAAAGAAAATGGTTTCACTAGAGGTGTGTATAAGAAAAAAGTTGTGATTAAAAATGTAAATCAAAAGAAACACTTGTCATGGTGCAGGGAGAAGAGATGTTGGGGTGTACAAACTCAGTGGTCCAAAGTTATATTCAGCGATGAATCTCAGATATGTGTCGGGGAAAATAATCGCGTTTATGTTTGGAAAAAAGCAGGCGAGGGGTGGAGACCGCACTTAGTGCCACGACAAAATGGCCGCAAATTCAGTATCATGGTGTGGGGGTGCCTGTGCTTCGGCAGTATCGGAACTTTGTGTCGGGTGGATGGGAACATTAATTCAGAAAAATATATGAACATCTTAGATTCAAACCTCTGGCCAGTTATAGTGAGGCATTTCCCACATGGAAGTTACCTCTTTCAAGATGATAACGCCCCCGTACATCGCTCTCGTGTTACACAGGATTTTATTGCCAGAAACCACATTAAGAACATGAGCTGGCCTGCACAGTCTCCAACTTAAATATCATAGAAAATGTATGGCTTTACATTAAAAGAAAACTCCAATCACGGATGCACAATATAAATTCCGCAGACGAACTTTTTCAAGAAACGCTTAGGATATGGCAGGACATCAACGTAAATTATGTCAGAAATCTTTATCAATAGTGAGGCATTTCCCACATGGAAGTTACCTCTTTCATCAGATTAAAAGGTCATCTTACAAGTATCTCGTGTTACACAGGATTTGTATTTTGTCAGAAACCACATTAAGAACATGATTTGGCCTGCACAGTCTCCAACTTAAATATCATAGAAAATGTATGGCTTTACATTAAAAGAAAACTCCAATCACGGTATGCACAATATAAATTCAAACCTGCAGACGGGGCACAGGCTTTTTAGGAAACGCTTAGGATATGGCAGGACATCAACGTAAATTATGTTCAGAAATCTTTATCAATCGATTCCAAGAAGAATACAATAGGTCATCAAATTAAAAGGTCATTTTCATCACAATGCTATATGCAAGGTAAATTTGCAGCTCCCATTTTATCCTTTGTTTGGATTTTACTCAATATAAAAAGCTATGTTTTCCCACAAAATTTTGATATCTTATATCACCTTTTAAACAAGTCAAAATAACATTATAATATTTATGTTCCGATATAAATACAAACGCAAACAGTTCATAACACTACATATTCACCGGATTTTAGGCCGTATTCATCGGAGGGTCCACTGTATTTGTGATTTTGTTATAGTAAGTCAGCTGTCAAGACGGTTTTCCGCACGAGTTGTCTCTCTTCTGTTGGAAACGTGACGCAGCGATTTTTTTCTGTGCAGACAAACAATTATTCAAACCTATTTCAGTATATATTTTTTAGAAATGACAAACACATAGCAAAACTGGAAAGGAAAACACAGAGGTTACAAACTGTTAAAGTAGCTTTTCTTTAGTTTATTTCTATTTAGAATATCGATTTCTTAAGGTCCAATTTCTATCAAAAATTTTAAAGATAGCATTTTCATCACAATGCTATATGCAAACAAAATTTGCAGCTCCCATTTTAAACCTTTGTTTGGATTTTACTCAATATAAAAAGCTATCTTTTCCCACAAAATTTTGATTATATTATATTACCTTTTAAACCTGTCATACACATTTATATTGAATTTGAGTAAAAACCTCTCAGATTTTTACCTTGTTGTCCTGGTGAAGCATTAGGAGGCTGAGCATTCCATCCTCCTTGCTGGTACCCCGGGGGTGACTGGTATCCTGCCTGATAATTGGGCTGTTGAGGGGGACCCTATCAAACAACACGTGTAAATCAAAAAGCTTCTTAGTGCTATAACATACATGCATAAAGGAATATATTTAAAATTTAAATTAATATCCTTATAACCTGTGGAGGTGGTCCTTGCTGAGGGGGAAATCCTTGCCCAGGTGGAGGTTGCTGTTGATAACCTTGAGGGGGGAATCCCATGTTTCCCATGGGGGGCCCTGCAGGGGGCGGTCCATGTTGGGGTGGGCCCTGGTTCCAGTTCCCTCCTTGGTTCCAGCCTCCATCCATTCCATGAGGGGGCCCCATCATGTCCTGACCCCGTCGTCCAAATCCCTGCTTGTTGTCTCTTCCATCCCTTGGCTCGGCACGTTTACATTCCACCTATGATTACAAAAGTTTGCGGTGAAATATAATTTTTTAAAAATATTTTTTAGTTAATTTAAATACAATCTATAAATTCTATAATGTAACCTTGTCCATTAAATTTAACCTTAACATCTTAACTTAAACTCTATTAACAACACACAATAAAAAAATTTTGTTATCACTTAAAAATCATAAACCTTAGAAAAATCTTTACTCATTTTCATAAAAATAAAACTAACACATACAATTACAAAAAATAATCTAAACACACAAATGGAACTTCTTAACACATATAGGGAAATTACATGGATTTTTTTTACTTTTCTGCTTGTCTGTGGAAGAACGTCTTATGTGTTTATGGTCACTTATAAAAACATAGCTTATTTTATAGCCTTCCTAATAAAAAAAAAAATTATATACAATAGCTCCCAAAAAGAACAAAAACTACCACAAATATTCGAATACTAGTATTACACTCTTAAAACTACCTAAGAATATTCCAATATGTGAACTATACAACAGTAATTAACACTCCCCTGACCTTTAACATGCTTTTATCTAGTAATGGTGCAAATACTAGTACAGAAACCATCATATTTTTTCGTGCATTTGTCAATTCTTTAAAATTTCATAAACTTAACATGAATGTTACCAATAGCTATTCTACATTTGTACTGGCCCCTTAAAGACTATCAAAATATACTGGTGCAAAAAAGCTACATTATTTGTCACACTAGACTTCTTGCACATCTTCTAATACATTTTTAAAAGAAAATACTGAAGGTTATTGATTTAATGAATTAATAGTAAAAGAAACTAAAGTGACGTAAGCCCCCCCAAAAATTAGTTTAAATATCTCATAACAAGATACTTTATTCCCTTTTCTGATCCCTCAGTCATTCAATCATATTTTGTCAGATTGAAAAAAAAACTTTCATTTTCTCTTTAGAAATAATCATGCATACTGATCAGTATGAAAAATTATCAATATCTTATTCAATGTGTGTATTTCATCTGAGTTTTTAAACATCAAACACTAAAATTAAATTTTCAATAATAATTAAATTATTATGACTAAAAAGTTTCAAGATTAACTGATATAAAGCATTTACTGCCTTTCAAAAATGATATACATCCCCTCTTTACATCTCTTCTATTAAATGTACAGGACAATATTTACGCTACATCTTATATTCAACATTTAACTTTTATACTAATCAATGAACTACATGTACATCATATGGACAAAATTACAGCAGTCAGTATGAAACCAAAATAAGTTGTGTTTGGTACAATGTCTTATATATAATATTGAACTCGCTTATTTTGAAATTCATTTTGAAATATGATTTTTGCTCTCATATTCTTTGCATTAAAATAACGGTTATATTGAAATGTATATTGAAAATTTATATTGTTTTGATAATGAGCAGTTTTCATAACGGTTATATTGAAGTACTCCTTGGCGGCTGTCGTTATGGTTGGTGACAGTAATTATGCCCGATTGACCAGTTGATATACAAAGGTGTAAATAATAAGTTTTCAGTTTATGTGTTTTTATATTGCATGCTCTTACGAAATAAAATTCTTCACTGTTAAACTCTTTGCATCCATGTGTATATAATACGGACATATCGAGGCTAAACAGCTAAACGTAATATAGTAACCTCCATAGATCAACAAAAAAACATCTTTGAAATTAAATGCGTACTGTTAATGGCTATTATTTACAAATAAGTTGTTTTTTAGTGAATTTTCATACTGTATATTAATAATGAAAATTGCCTTTTCAATGTTAAAAAAAATATTTAAACTTTCAAGGACTCATATTCTATGTAATCTGTTCACTGTTACAGATAAACGATGACAAAATTAATTTGTTCGTATGTAAACAAGTAACACTAAAGCAGTGAAACGGCTATAAATTTTAACTTTTTTAATACCGGTATCCTGTTTATTGCTGTTCACTGTTATAGATAAACGATGACAAAATTAATTTGTTCGGGTTTGTTCTTCTTTATTCTAGATCGGGATTGAACTTGTAAAAATGGCCGCTTCACGATTTCGCTTATATTGAATTACGGATATATTAAAATAATTTGCTTGGTCCCCTGAATTTCAATATATCCGGAGTATGCTGTATATTAGAACCTTATACCAGTATGATGCTCAATATGATGTACAATTTACATGTTTTAAGTAATTTCCTAAAGTACATGTAGTGCTATGTTTTACACCACTTGCTCTTTAAAACAAAAGTTGATTGTATGTACCATGGCATAAGTTGTTTGTGAATTCTGAAAATGGTTTTACTTGATCAAAAAAAAAAAAAAAAAAAAACTTCTCCCACTTCACTAAAGAACAAATGTTATATGAATTAGTGGACAAAAACTGCAATGTATTACAGTAAAACTTGTCTAATTGAGACACCGCTAGTTCTTAATGAAAGAGATTCCAGATTAAATAACACATGAAACAACTAAATTGATTGAAAGAGACTTTAAGTTTACACTGTTTAGACTGGATTTTGGGATACATAACATCAGATTAGACAAATCTCACTGTAGATAGTATAGCTTCCTGAACATGAGGTTTCCAAATGCATTCAACTTTTACAGTCACTTGCATTTAGCATCATTACAGATATAGACAAAGCTGCACAGGGGGTTCACAAGATGATAAATTAATAGCTAACATGCACAGGACAAATTTGCAAATAGTAATAATACATACATGTATATTAACTATTGATCAAAATTGAAGTTTTTTGATGGTCAGACGCTACATTTACAGAGTGCTCTGGAAATCATATTTTAGAAAAATACACCAGGGATGAAACTGACCTATATAAATGATTTTTTTAAGTTTGTGGAATAAGCAAAAAAGACACATAACAACATACTGCAAGTTCAAAGATAATGAATGAGTATTCATGACTTATGAAAATTATATGACAAATTCAAGTTTTACATTCACTACTTTATTTAATATTTTTAATTTTTTTTTTTATCTAAATAAATTTTTCAAACAATTTCAAAATTAATATTTCAATCAATTAATTATTTTTCAAATCATAAATTTAAGTTATTTTCTTTCAATTTTTGTCCTCATTTGATTTTTAGGCTGACAAATTACCTTGAAACTACAACAAACATCTGATGACAAATAATCCTCCTATGACTACTAAAAACACAAAACATCAAAGCTATACCTAGTACTCTATCAAGGACAGATATAAAATTGCCTGAATTTTACTTTTATATTTTAATTTAAATGAAAGGTATAGGTCTAGGGACATCTCATTTAAAATCTATATTAAGGTCACAGTCTTATTCTCAGGTCTCACATGTAACAGGGTATCGAAATAAATCATGTTAGAGGTTTCTGATCAATAAATAAAGTACCATTAGGGTGTTTTGTAACAGTTTTCAAAAAAGAACTTGCACATACAACATTCATTGTATAAAATTAAATCTTTATTCTAATATCCCATATTTCTTAGTCAAGTCAGCACTCAACATAATGGAAGCTCTGGGGCCAGTAAATTTGGGATTTGGAATAGTGCTTTTTAAAGATTGCTTCAGCTTGGCCTTGGGACCAGTGATTATTTTTCCACACCTCAAAAATGTAATAACAGTAAGGATAGCTGACTACACAAGTTTTTATGTCCAATTTCTTTTTATTATCTACTTGACAATTGATAAGTACATAAATTTAGCTCAAGTTACAAGTGCAAAAAAAAAAAAAATTATTTGAGCCCTGCTAAGTTTTTATTGATTTATTCATCTCCCTGGGACCAACTGGCCATTGGCCTCAAAGGTATATTCTAATACCCATGCTTACTTATATTTTACAACCCTTATCTCTCTTAGTTGAATAAAAAGGTTTTGAGAAAACAATTCTTCAGTGTGTTTTAATTTGCATGAGATGGTTTTTCTACACACTAAGATATGTTGTTAATGCTAATACCAAACACTTTAGACTGCTCTAACATCTGCATATATAGTAATAAGCTGCTAAAATCAAAATGTGTTAAATAAATGAAAGATGAGACTTGTTACAAGATGATGAGAGCCAAAAAAAACTTTATGAAATACAAGAAATCTATTGCATCTTATTGTGTGTTATTAAATCATCTGAACACCTTGTCTGTAAACCAAATTGTCTTATTCTATCTCACATTGTTACATGACTGTATTTTATCCATACTAATTCCACACAAGCATTTTAAATATAATGATGTGGTTTAGGGTCAGAATCACAGAATTCAGGCCTAGAAAAGCTGTAAAAGTTCAGGTGCTGCAAAAAAAGGGGATTAAATCAATAAAATAAAGAGTATACTAAGAACCTGTTTTCCATTGATGTTTATAAAATGTTCTGCACAAACTTGATCTACAGCTTCTTCCGACTCGAAGGATAAAAATCCAAAGCCTATTTGGTTAGAAGGTGTAAAATTAGACTTCAGTATGCATGTGTATGATTAAACATGTACAGAGTACCAGTAAACTTGGAAAAAACAAAGAAATTTTAGTCCCAAGTTCTTTTCAGCAGTATTAACTCAAATACTGCAGCAAATACCAAAATAAAGAATTCTTTATTTTTATCTATCTTGTTATATTCTATTCCTTTTCATCAGATAATATGCTTGAACGTCATGCATTTTTAAAAACTATAATCATAAGATAGACAAATATGATGTTTCAAGCATGTAATCATTAACCTTCTAATTTCCAGTTTAACAATATCACACTCAATTGCTGAAATTCTGGCATTTTACTAGAAGAAACATTAATACTGCTCCAACTTAAAATTAAAAAAAAAAATTGTATGCTCATACACATCTGTGACTTTTTACTTTCATCTTTCAAATTTACCATGAATATTATTTTCTTAAAGTTACTCACACACATGCACAAATGAACATACAAAACTTCTTAAATACTATATTACCAGCACTATAAACATACTGATCCACTGTATTTTCTACACTATCATTCAAAAGTTGTTGAAATCATGTTAGAGTAACAAACATGACTGCTTTACATTCTATAAGCATCTATACCATTTTCCTTGATCTCTCCAGTATTTACTTTTCTTCATTTTTTTTTTTTTTTTTTTTATCAAATTATTTTAATACTTAACCTTATAAATTATCTTGTTTTCCACATTTCCACATTTTATCTACTTGGGTAGGAGAGTATAAATGAAATTTTTTTCTCTGGGATTTTTTTTTTAAGAAACTAGCAAGGCTTATGAAAATGTATAATCTAATTAAGTTACAAAATTAAAATCTATCCAACTGATACAAGTTGGAAAAAAACATGACCATACACTCCACACAAAATTTATCTTTAAAATATCCATAATTTGAGTTACAAATGTAAATTAATTTTGTGTAAAAAATGTCTCTGACAATATGGTAAAAATACATGTACTACCCTGGTAATAAACCATTTGACACCCTATATCAAACTTTTAAGATTACTGTGATGTAAATTCTTTCACTAATTATAGAAAAGTTTGTACTGTAAGTTCAACCATTGTGCAGAGATTAGCAAAATATCAGCTTTATATAGAATTAGTACCCTTATGGTTCCAATTGATATTTCACACTTTTTTCTGTTTTTTTTTTTTTTGTTTTTGTTTTAAATTTGGGTTCACATAAGCCTCTTTTTGAACAATGCCTTTTCAATACCGACAACCTAGACATGTATCATAAAGAGAGTGGATTGTACCTTTTAACTTATCATACATATACAAAGATAAAAGTCATTAAAATGCCAGAACTTCAGTAATGTAAAGTTATGAAGTTTGTTGGCTCTTGCCATTATCAATGGTATACAAATATTACTTAAAACTATACATGTAGTTTAATACACTAAATAATTTCTTATAAGTAAAATAATGAATTTCTTAAATTACAATGACTATCAAACTTACATACAACACAACTTAGAGAAAATGGTAAGATTATGACACAAATTAAGATACTTAAATACAATTATGACTATATATTACTGGAGTTCAATTGTAATGTTCCTTTTTATTTCAGATGAACAAATATACAGGTTATGTCTGATAACCCTTGGAACAATTTTCTTACCTCTTGACTTTTTGTTTTGTTGGTCAATCATGATGTTGACATCCAAAACCTGAAATTACAAAATATTGACTCAGAATCTCTCTTCCCTTTTCTAATTAAGAATAAAATTAATGTGCCTCTATACCTAAACTCTTCAGATGTTTGACAAACTATCACAGGATGTTCTGAATTTTTTTTTTTTTAGATGACATATATTTTGATTTCTTTTATCCTTGTCTGTAAAGAGCAAGCTCTATGTACAAACAATATTTACCATGAGGCATGCCTAAACAAATAAATTGATGAAACAAGGATATCAATAGTCCTCTATAAATTTTGAAAATTTCTATGGTTTGATACAATGACCTTGTTAGCAAATACAAAATGTATACATGTATCTGTTAGTTGAATCTTGGCCGACATAAAAAATGTGGTTGTATAGAGCTCCAGATAAGGTGCGGATTTGCAGAAATACGCATAAAATTTTACAAAATATGCATTGAAAATTAAATTATAGCATACAACTACACAATAGCAATCATAGATTTGCATTACACCACGAAAGTATTACAACTTACAGGTTGACTTACTTAATGATACCAATTGAGGTTAACTCAATGTTTGATTTTTCTCAAAACAAAGTACAAATTTAAAAACTTTTTAGTGACCAGGAATATTCTAGTGATGACGACGACGATCTCCATTTTGGGAGGAAGAATCAGAGATTTAGATTAAAATCAATTTCTATGTAGAAAAACTATGCACTAGGCATAACTTTTTTTTTTATTATGGGTTCTTAGCCAATTTTTCATCTCTCTCAACTTGCCATATTAACGAAGATTCTTTCAGTTACTCTTGATACAATATCTTAAATGAAGCCAAAAGTTATCTGTGTCTCTGACTCTATGTTACAGTGTACCTTGACCTACTGTATAATCTTCTTTGTCAAAAAAAGAATGCTTCCCAATCTTAGCAAAAAGTCTTGTTGAAATTTACAAAATTAATTTAATTTAAATAATTGCAGAAACTGACCTTTGAAGTTTTTTCCCTCTTCAAAAACTCATACTTCGATTACAAGCTCAAAATAAAGGTCAAAACATTTCTATATAAACAAAATACTCTTTAATTTTGTTGCTGAAAATCAAAATCTGCATTGATTTGAAAATCAGGGAGTAAATACACTTTAGGGTAAAAAATTATCTGGAGCTCTGGTTGAATATTAAAATCTAGGACTCCAGATTAAAGATCAACATGAAAAGTTCTCCTTTGTATAACTTTGCTTTACCTTTCCATACTTTCCAAAGAAGTTTCTTAGGAAGTCTTCATCAACATTAGGTAGCCCTCCCATGAAGATCTTCCTGTCCTTGTCTCCTCCTCCCCCACCCCCATGTCCTCTACCACCACCACCCTCTCTGGGGCCCTGGTAAAGATAAGGTGTAATTATAATACATTTTTAGATACATATAACTTTCAAAGAAACCACTATCCTCTGCTGGACAAACAAACATGAATTGGAAATACAAATTTACTTGCCTTGTTTGCAGCTTTGGGGTTGCAAGGCTTGGCATCAACCTGAAAGCATAACAAATCTCCTTATTTTATGCATTTATTTCAACATACTTCATCAGTGATTGGGATAAGCACGCGCCCTGCGCCATACTCGCATTAAATTTCAAAATGTCACATTAAAATGTTGCTTCTCTGCGCCATCGTGGCGCATAGATAATCATGCACACACTACTTTTAAACTTTGACTTTCAAATCCTCCAAGCGCTTGTAGTATTTCCCAAAACAATCGCTGTCAATTTAAGTAGTTCAGCTTGATAAAATAGTATTTAATGTCGTTCAATTAAAGTGTTCTTATGACTTTCTTTTCTCCAGTATCTAATCAAACAGTAAATTTTTCTGATTGGCTAATGCGCACGAAATAAACTGGTGTCAGGCGTGCAGCATGCTGCCTAACTCACCTTCTACCGATAAAGGGCAGACTTTTCTTAATTTCAAGTAAATCGGTAGAAAATGACCCGGAAGAAGTATAACATGCTGACAGAACGAATGGGGATGAATCTGGCGGTAAGACTGATGTAGTCTCGGAGGAAAAACCAAAACGAAAATTTAACATGAATCGGAGGGAATCAGTATAGATCTAAACCAGGCTTTAAATCATTTAAAGATGTCAAACATCGGAGACAAAAAATAAAGAATTGAAATTAATTTGCAGTGTTTATTTTCTGACACTTGTGAATTTAAATATACTAATTTTGTATCTTTTATTTTTTAATGTTGTCATTCAATAATTTGATAATTTCAATTAAGTCGAGTCAACTGAAATTCTAACAGCAAGTAATTAATTGCAAGTTTGTAACTAGGAAATGTCCCATTAAAAAGTCTGTTTGGCGCATTGAATTTTGAAATGTCACATTGACACTGACTTGGAGTGCGCCATTGTCACATTTACTCCCTAGCTTATCCCAATCACTGCTTCATGATGCAAAGTTACCTTACTGAACCCTTAAAAGGATGACAGACTATTTACTTCTACACAGTAATTGTTTTAGGGGGATGAAGTTTCAGATATTCCAATGAGCATGTTGCTTTGTACCTGTCTGCCATCAATACTATGTGGAGATGCAGATAACACTGTGTCAACACACTCTGCATCATTAAATGTGACAAATCCAAATCCTCGGGACTTTCCCGTCTGCTGATTCTTCATAACAACACAGTCAATGACCTCTCCATACTGACTGAAGTAGTTCAGCAGGGAATCTGAAAGTATGGTCAATTCACAGAGTCAATCTCTTGCCAAAAAGATAAAGTGAGTCTTGGTGACCATTTTCCATCAAAAATAAATTTACATTCTAGATTGTTTGGAAAATAAATTTCGAATGTATTTATTATGTTTTTTAGGCCAAAAATAAAAATAGTCTTGTTTCCTGCTACCCGACCTACCCTATTTTCTTGCAGCCGACCTGTAAAGTTTTTTTTTAGTTTTTGGGGAAAAAAATCAGGAATTTTGGAATTTCTATGTTACAATCGAAAATTCTGAAAAAAAATATATATTCAAGTGGAATTTCATAAAATTCTATGTTTTAAATAAAGACTTTCTTAAAATACCACTTGAGTTGTGCATCAAAAGACATGAAATTCAAATTTAAAAGGCATATAATTGACCTTTGGCATGTTTAATTTGATGTTGTAATAGAACATATCCAAAGAAACACTGCCAGAAAAAAATAAAATAAAAAATAAAAATAAAATAATTTCCCTACCTACCTACCCTATTTTTTTCAGGCTGGTAGCAGGAAACAAGACTATTATTTTTTTGGCCTTATAACTCAGTTTCTATGATGTCTCATAACAAACTTTTTAAAAGAGTGTTAGAAAAAATGTCCAAAGGTGGTTGGATTATTTTAGACAGAAAATGCCTGTATGCGTCGACAAAGCTGCAAAGGGAAATAACTTAAGAATTCAGAGCAATGATTTGATGATAAATTCACAAAATTAAGTATCTACCTTGATCAGTATCCCAGCTCAATCCACCAATAAAAAGCTTCCTGTAAAATTTAATTTTCATCTAATTAACGATTTAAAGAAAATAACTGATAAAAATCGACCTTTCTGCTTTGGGGAGAGAAGCACTGACGCTCTTCGAGCATGTGACAATGTAAATGCGAAATAAAATAGAAATGCATGTTACTTTAGGCTTTTTAAAATCTCATGTAAATATTTTAACATAAAAATGCAGTTAAATTTACCCAGCTTCATTTCTAGAATTGCTATTAGCATTTTTGTTGAATCCACCTCGATGCATGATCGATGAAAAATGGCGAATGTCTTACAGCGCCGTCTACAAGAGGAAGTTGATAACAAAGGACAGATAATTCTCCTTTCTTCCGTGTTTGGGTCTACTTAAAGCTCATTTCAACACTTTTTCTTCATCTTTTTTTTTATATACAAGTACGTTTTAAAAAATGATAAGTTCAGCAAGCTTTAAGTAGATTTTTTTTTGCATTACATCGAAAATTCCGGGAAAATTAAAATTACAAGTATATTTCAATTTTAGTGCCGTTCTTTAAAATCCGGTTGAAGATAACTTCATACAGACGAATTCATTTGAGATGGACAAAAACACAAATAATTTTCTTCTCCCTGGGTAAAATAACTGAAAAATCGATAAGATATTGCATATACATGTATTTTACTTGTTTTCATGAAAAATTATTTCTGAAGAGAAAATAGAAAATTCAAATTACAAATAATTTAAAGGATTTGAATCAGTTTCATTCATTGAAGCTGTTAATGAAATGCATTAACGCACACAAGTAAAATCTACAATATTTTTTAAAGATTTCACAAAACAGAAATGTTAATCTAGCTGACTCCATAGAGCGAGAAATTGTCCAGAAACCGTTTGTGTGGGAATATGGAGGTTGAAAATACGAATACTTAAGACCGAGGAACATTAACTGGCAAGGCTGGATATACAGCTTAGCTGTATAGTCTTGCCAGTTAATGTTCCTCGGTCTGAGCTTACGTCATTTCTATCTGTTACAATCGAAACATTCAATGATAGACAATGAAATGGGCGGGTACAATTCGACGCGGACGCGGGGAAAACATTGGATTGAAATTCAAGTTTGAAATTCATTTTCAGTCCACCTCAGCTACGCTAGAACGGAAGGCACATTATTATCCTGGCGTATTGTATTTTAATCAAACTCATCGCGCAAGTCAATGATCATCTTCTTTATTAATTTATCGCAAACTTTATAGAATTTGAAAAAATATGGGCTTAAAATGTTAGCGTATGTGTCTATAAATAAAATGATACAACCCAAATTGCAGTTTTGTGTTTATTATTTTAATATGCCATAATATGGAGAGGCACTGCTCGCCTCCAAAATATTAGCGTTTGTGTTTTCGACCTAAATATAGTATCAACGCTTTCCTATCAGTATTGGCTATAAATACACACTGAAATAACAAAGAGAACAATAAAAATACGATTGTCTGTCTTTCAAAAAAGACATTGAACAAGTTGCATTTTTGGTTACCAAACATTTATTTGTTGCAGAACACTGAGTGCTGTGCATTTCCCAAAAAAATCAATAAATAACCTCTCATTTTTCAGTAAAAATCTGTAAGAAAGTGCTCATATTTAAGGCTTCGAAAACAAACAAACTGTTTGATCCACCCATTTCATTCTCAATATTTGCTGACTCTTTGGAAGAACGCTTAATTTTCTTGCTCGGAAAAGTGTCCAAAAAATCTTTGTAATTAACCGATTACGGCATTGATTAATCAACAGATAAAATGCGCATTCGAGTAAAAAGTCTTGGGATCCTCCACCAAAAAAACACACAAAGACTGGTTTGATGAGAATCGCGCCGAATCAATTATTTTGAGGATTTTCAAACATTGCGCTTCAAAGTTATTTTTCAGCAAAAAGAACTCTGGGGAACGCTAATGCACAGCAGCAAAAGCTTCGGGATATGCAGGACTCCTGGAAAAATAGCTGACGAATACAACGCTACGCCGAATCTCATAACAGGCCTAGGAAGAGCTTTTACTATGGACTTGAAGTCCAGAAGAAATTCATCAGGTTCAATTTTGGTGATGACGGGTTAACACTTCAAAAAATATTTAAATCAGAACATTTCAATGGCGTTCTGAACCGTTTTAAAACAATACATGAATCAAATATGCCCAGGTTCCCATAAATTATGGATGTGTGCGTTGGACGTTGGATGGGATCCAAAAGCAATTAGTCTGTTGTCAACTGGCAAAGCACCTGGCCAGCTGAGATTTACAAAGAAGGGGGCGTGGCTCTTGTCGAAAAACTCCATCATTTGCTTGTGCAAGGATCGGCCTGACAAGTTACCTCCGCACCCACCATCCAGATCGTCCCCCTCCCCCATGAAGATGAGACAGTGGTGATCGTCATCACCGACGGACGAATAACTAAACTAGTATATGTGCTTTGGTACTTATCTTTTTGTCTATACAAATTTTTGAGGTACATGCAATTGTTGAATAAAAGTGGTAAAAAAATGCATTTTTTAAGAATCACGGCTATTAACTCAGTTAATGCTCTTTTAATATGTTCAATAAATATATATTAATAAACTTACAAACGATTCACTATGAAGAGAAAGAATTTGTTGCATATATATTTAGCTACATTTCCAGATTTGGCAAATAAAGGAATAACTGTGTCTCCAGCTTTAAAGCCACAACATATTTGATGCTATCATACATTTTCTCAGTAGTTAGGGGTATACCTTACCAAATATAAGTATCAAGTTTATTCACTCAAAATGGTACCGACCATCCCCCAGTGGCTCATGGACTACGTCTAGTTGTCGACAATTTTATTCCGATCGTAAGGACTATACCCACCCTAAAAGTTGAAGTCAACATTGGATAATTTAATCTTCACTACTTTGAATGTCAAATTCACATCCTTAATGACCTAATTTCGTCCATAAACGCTCTGACGGGGCTTGTCTCACGCTTTCCTTTATCCAAAGATCTCTAAGCATCTTCACCACTAACGTCACCACTCTGTCCACGACTGCCGAGAACGACTTCAACTTTATTGATGCTGCACTGTCCGTGACGATTCCTACCATTAAGTGTTACATTCTGTTAAATTGAATCTTTAAATTTCTAATCTGATAGAATTTTTTTTCCTCTATTCAATATTCAACAGTTCTATGGAACAGAATTTAGTGTCTCCAAATGTTCCTCTTTTGAGCTGAAGTAGTTAACTATTTGTTTCAATGCCCCCTTCTCCACTTGTCTCTCAGATTTATCCACAAACCTTGTGGAAACAAAACTCGGACAGTTCTAGGCTTTGGATAGAATATTCGTTTTGATCCTGGTAAAGTTGCTGCTCTTGTAACGCAACTATAACATCTTTAATTTCTGGTAGCTTTGGATCTGATCGGTCAGACTTTCTGGTTTATCTTGCCTACATCTTTGTTTTTACTTAGGTACTATTAACATCCCTACAGGTAATATTTAACTTCTTTCGTCCTGATTCTTTTGCCTTGCTCGACTGTTGGAATGTTTCTTCTTTCTTTTTGTGTTAGTTTCTGCCCTTTTGGCTTTTTAACACCTCCAGTTTTTTTTCTAATGAAGAGGTTTGTTGTAGAGCAAGGGGGGGATCAATTTTTTTTTTGTTTTCTTTATTAATCAATATTGTATAAAATTAAGAACTTAGTTCAGTCCATTTCCAAGTAGAATGAACATGTTTCAGGAATTTGCGCGAAGTAGATCTACATAGCGCCAATCCACATCAGCATTCTGGAACAGAGAAAAAATGTCATCTAAATGTAATCCTTGCTCAATTGAATTCAATTTACGGTTGTTTTGTTGTTGTTGCTTGTTTTGTTTTTGTTTTTTTTTTGGAAACAACGTGTCCCTAACCCATACACATTTCAGAGAAACGTCATGGATAAAACTTACATACACATACGTATTGTGATTAGATACTATATTTTTACATTTTTAATGTGATTTTTAGTCCCCCACAACTATGTCGTGTTATCCTACCAATGCCAACTTTAGCCGCACGGGAACGTCCAAAAATGGATCATGGCAAACAAAACGTCTGTTTTAATGAGGGTGAGCTACAAATTGGGATCTCAACAACCCCTGCTGCCATAACTGAACAGGTTTTTAAATTTCTATATTCTTGCATTTGATTTAATGTGCTGTAATTCTGCATGATATGTTCTGTGCATATTATTACTCCTGTTAGTTTAGTTGAAAATTGGAATGTTGTATGATAATAACTATTTTTCTTTAAAAAAAAAAGCAGTAATTTTTAACACAGATTTTATATCATGCTGTTAATTAATAAGTTTAAATATGAACCCTTTCAATTTGAAAAAAATCGAATAAACCTGATTGATAGATGTCAATACATGAGTTCCAATATTGTTGCAAATGTGCTTTCTAAAAGCAATGCTTTATATTTTTCGTCAAACTCAGCGACAGAAAAACGACCAAGTTGTATCCTCGGAGTCTTCTCCTGCGCAAACAATGTCTGCCACATCCAGTGCTACATGTAAGTTTAGTATAACTGTTACTTAACTTACTAACTGCAGCTCTATATCTTGCTGATCTCAAAAATAGGATGGACGCCCGACCCATTTCTTTTCGATCATTAAGGTACAACTCTGCCCTTTGGTCTTCCATCCTGATTTTTTTTAGCCCAGCAAGCTACAGATCTGCGGCTATATTGTTACACACATATTTCACTCAGATCTACCCAAATAAATTGTCTAATTTATTTATGAAAAATATTTTTTACTGTAGTTTACAGTCCTGAAAACCGTTCATCTGTGGATATAGAAGGTGCAATGATTGACAAGGCAATAGAAAATGTGCTGACTCTTCCTCAAGAATTCCAGGAGGTGGTGACGATGCAAAAGTTACACAATGACGAGATAGCGAAATTTGAGAAGTGTTTATCTTCATCTCTGGTGAGTGATACGACTGCATTTCAGGTACAGTGTACCTTTGGTCTAAATTTTTGGAAGCTGCATAAAGCAGGCTCTTTCCTGAAACCGAACGTTAGAAATCTCTGGAAAGAACATTGTTTTCTGCAATTTTTGAGATGTATTTGTTTTTAACCACAAATTGTAATGCCAGATAAATGAAAATATTTAACTTTTTTTTAAATCGCACATTTGAGACCCCCGTGGTTTTTTTCCCTGACAAAAAAAAAAATGAGACTGTATCTCAATACAAACTTCTTTTTGGGGGTTAAGTCAAAGGAAAGCATATTTTAAAAAGATTTTTTTTCCGAATTTCGATAGTTTGTTAAAGAAATACTATGCACATTGCACACTTTTGCTTGCTTGACTTTTACATAACATTTTATCAAATTACAGGAAGAGGAAAAAGATGGTAAGATTATAAATCTTATTTATCATTCAAGACTGTATAATTAATGTTTATCATAGGTGCCAACAAATATTATTATTAGAATATTCATTCGATGAGTTGATATTCGAATATTTATTTGAGAATCGAGTATTCGGATTTCTTTTCCAAATTTTACAAAAATCAATCATCATTTATCTAAACATTCAGGCACCAAAAGATTTATGCCTCTTAAAATATACACTTTGATGGTATAAATTAGATTTATCTAATCAACCAATTTTCAGCTGCAAACAAGAATGACGCTGTGTTACAAGACATTTCTTCTGTTGATCGAAAAATTTATTTCACAAAAGAATCTTCTGCTTTGAAACAAAAGACGTGTTCCAAACTGTTAAAAGGTAAAGTTTCTTTCTAAATTTAATATTAAAGTCATATTTGTAATCTGTCAGTGTGAAATAAGTAATTGATTATATTTTGAATATGTTGGCAGATAATGACGTAATAATAGCTGGAATTGAAAAATTGAACCGAAAGATGCAAGATTCTGAAAGTAACCTGGATGAGGATTTCAAGTTAGTCAGATAATTTGGTTATTTGTTGATAATTTACTACTAAAACTAAACTACTTGGGAGGAAGTATTAATCACTTCAAAGTTGCAATTGATATGTAGCATTAGCGAAGGGCGAAAGGCTTAATATATATGCACCCTAGTTCTTATCTCCCCTCAAATTCAGATATTTAAAATTAATTTTTTCATCATGTTTGCATGGCTTAGAATGATATCAAGTTATGAAGATAAAATGAAGGACTACAAAATTAACGTACAGAGGTGCGAGGCTTCTTCAGATCTGATGAGAGAGTTGGCGGAGACAAAGGAATGTACAGAGCAGCTACAAGAAGAGAGTGAGTGACAACACAATACTATCTAATATACAAATAATCCCACTTCTTATACATAAATGATCACGAAATTAACTAACATTGTCTGGATCCTAGTTTGTATTAACAATCTCTAAGTTTAAAGTTGTTTATTTTTAGGAAACAAATTACCAGTACATGTCTCATGCATAGAAAATTTTAGTAACTTTAAAGGGAAAGTTGAAGACCGGATAAATGAAATTAAGAAATTAATATCAGAGGATGAAAGAGAGATTGCAGAAAAACGGTACCAAGTAAGAAAACGCTGTGCATTTTATCCATATTTCAAAGAAATCTGTAATCGCTTTTTCTGATTAAAATTGGAAATTAAAATCGATATACTCCCTGCATTATAGCTTAAAAATTGATGAATAATTAATAACTACACTACGTGTTATAAATATTAGATTTTCTAATCTTGATTTCCAATCAGTTCTATAAAACAGCATTCTTCCATTTTTTAGAATGATTATATTTGTTTTTGAAGATTTCGCTTGAGATGAAAAGACAAGAAAATGTACAAAAGAGCCTTCAAGTTCTTGAAGTATGTTGGCATGTGCTACATGTGGTATATTCAACAATAAAAATTAGTTTGATGAAAGTGATATTCTGCCTATGATGCAATTATAATATTTGTAAATAAATGTTATTAAATGTAGTATCTATTTGAAATTTGTTGGAATAACATAAATAACTGATATTTTTATAAATGAGGAAAATATCAAGTAGATATACGAGCATTTTTGTGAATACTTTACCAAATATTAATATTTCAGAAAAGGAATGCTGCCCAGCTGCTTCGAATTAAAAAGCAAGTTAAAGAGGCACAGATGAGAAATCGTAGCTGGAAAAACCAAATACAACAACTGGAACAAAATTTATCGCTGTTACAGGAAAAAATTCAAAATAATTCTCAGCAGTCATAAGTTCTGCAATAAAATGTACGGACTTGGAAAAAGATGTGTTGACATGTAGAAAATAAGTTAAAGAATAAAAGTGTGACACTTGTAGTTTGGACTGAAATTAATCTTTAAAAAAAACTGGTTTCTTCTTTCCAGGTGATTAGAAACTTTCGTCTTGCTTTTAAAACTGAAAATAGAAATTGACGAATATAGATCCTGATCTGAAGTTTTAACTGCTTTACAGGAAATCAGTAAGATAGTTTTGTGTATACTGACCAGGACAATAAATAAGGAATGGTCCATATATAAAATACTTAAAAAAATATATAATGTACTTGATTGCATCACAAATAAACATGCCATCTTGTCAAACGATTTTTATTTGCGTTATGTAATTATAATCCATTTACAAAAAAGGTGAACAGTTGTGTTTTCAAGCTTCTGAATTTAATACTATATTGTTTTTAAAACCACCTCAATTCTGTATTCAAAGAATGTGACCAATTTAAAGAATGGGGCTCGTCGATCGCTTTTCTGTTTCATAAATCTTATGCATATGCTTAAAATTTTAAATACTAGTATACAAATTCCTGCACTCAGTTAAGAAACTTAATTCCCACGCACTAAATGCAGCACGTTTCTAATTTGTTGGGTTTCTTTTTGACTTTACAGAGTAGTAGGTTTTTAGCTCTACTGGTCAGAGACCAGAAGAGCTTATGCGATAGTAATGCGTCCGGCGTCCGTCCGTCCGTCCGTCTGTCTGTAAACAATTTTTCAAAATGCTACTCCTCCTACAGTTTTGGTCTGATTTCAATATAACTTTGCACACAAGTAAACTACACTAAGATACATAATTCTGTATATCGGTTTTCGATTTCTATGAACGGTGTTGCCATGGTTAATAAAAATAGAAATTTCTGTGAAATACTTTTAAAATGCAACTCCAAATACAGTTTGAGTCCGATTATAATATAATTTGGCACGCAAGCAGACTCCACTGAGATACATAATTAACAGTTTTGTGTTTTTGATTTTGATAAAATATGTATCCATAGTAATTAAAATTGAAAATTCAGTAAAATTCTTTATTATACCAGTAAGTACAAACCAGTAGAGCTCCAATCTCGACAGAGACTTCTGGTTTCTGGAAGGGAGCGATCGAAGGGATTTATTCATGACTTTCTGAGTCAACATACAGATTTAATAGCACAAAAACGAATTTTGTGTACAGACCAGTATACATTTTGTGTTTGTATTCAAAATCACGTCTTTTTTTAATAAGACGCTTTTTGTATACAAATTAAAACTATATCAAGCTAGTACTTTCATTACAGAAAATCCATTTAAATCTTTTTTTTTTATTTTTTTTAAAAATCAAATAGTGGAATCAGTGTTCTACTCAATCAACACAATGTAACGCTATCTTTCTCTCTTCTTCATAACAATTAATTAAATGTAAAAATAACTACTAATGTAAAAGGTGATAATGAGTAGCGTCCATTTACATAAATACAGTAGACAAACTGGATCCTGAATGGGGCAAAATCCTGAACATCTGGAAAACCAGAAATGGGACCAGGTCCATATTATAAGAAAGCATCTTATATGTCAACAACATAAACTTACAATGAGCCGTAAGTATTGATCACGTAAACTTGCACAAAGATTTTAAGAGAATGTATTAAGTACATGTAATGCAGTGTTTTGTGTGATTTTTTAAGGAAAATCAACATTAATATGAATATTACTCATCCATTTTTATTCTACTGGACTTCTTTAGCTGATTGCATCTAATATACCCAAATCCTGTTGATTCTTGAACAAGAAAACGTTGACACAATTAACAGAATCGATAAATCATTGGTAAAATCTAACATCTATCCACCATGATTGATAAACAAAATACCAGATAGTCAAACTTGAATTATATTCACTTCTCCTGGCAATGAAGTAAGAAAAACTCTTGTTCTTCGATCTTTTTTTCCTCTTATGTAGAGATACTTGTAGATGAAACACAGTTTAAGAGAATCACAGTAGTTTCATAAGGAACAAAATTTCAATATAATATTACTCCTTTGCAGTCTTTGTTTATAGCACCAAGGAAATGTTTGTGACAAGCCACTATATAGACATCTTGTCTTCAAATTTGGCTAGTGTTAGAGGCTCACTCCCAGTGATTTACTAAGTTCTAGTGATTCTGGGAACACACAGTTGTCAGGAATCTGCAATAATTAAAAGGTAATTAGTAAAGGTGTCACCACACTCAAACATACAAAACAGAGACATAAATATGTGGGAGTGCAGTGTAAGTGTTTTAGTGCTTGTTTGTGGATGGTTAACATTGCTATTTGATATTATATATTTTTTTTAATTCTAAACAATACAAACACTTTCCATTTCTATTGAAACAGAGTAATTTATTAACAGTAAACAAGAAACATTATTTAGAACAAATGAGACGATTGAACCTATAATTCTTGATACAATGCCTGCATATTATGAAAGATTCATTGTTATCCAATAATATATTTAATATCCACGGATTACTTTTAATAATTCTCTTGTATTAGATTAATTTTCGCCCTATGAAGTTGTAATCCTTTTTGTGTCACAATTATTTTGAAATTTAAAGTAGGCTGCACGATACTAGAAACAATTAAATTTAGGCATTGGCCCAGATAATATTGCCAAATAATCTGAAAATAGTTTATTCGAGATGAAGTTAAAAGTTGAACAATTGGATACACTTCTTCATGAATCACGGATTAACGATTTCTTTTTATTTTAGGCATTTGGGTGCATACTAAATGTAAATATGATAATTCTTATTCATATATATAAGATGGCCTATTGCCCTAATCACTGTCATAAAAATACTGATTAAAGTATTTCTTTCGGTTTAACTGTTGGCAGGGATATATTCCCCATTTCGAATAATGATCATCCCCTTCAGTAAACTGTCTTTTCATGATTTCACATCTCATACATTTACAATTGTCTTTCCATTTCTTTCTCCGGCTACGCCGACCGATTTTGTCACTTTCCAGACGTTTTTTGATATCGGTGCTACTTCTGGCAGAGTAAGGACTGTTTTCACGAATGGTGGACATGGAGCGATTTTGGAGGATTTCGCTCCTATCTAACCGTTCTGTCTGAATGTCTTTTTGAATATGAACTACCCCTGTGAGGTTACTTAAGTCTATGTGGTATATACCAGATTTCTCCAGCTCCTGCATCTCCTGTTGAGGCTGTACGGTCGGTTCCTCTTCCTTCTCTTTCTTCTCCACGCTCCGTGTCTGTAGCTTCTTGCTGTAAGAGATTCTCTCAAATCTGTGTTTGGAGGAATTCTTGGTGTCATTCTGGACAGCTGTAGCTATATTCGGTAATGATCTCGATAAAGAGCTACTTAGATCCTTTTCTTTATCTTTCACCTACATAAAAGGAAAAGAGAGGCATTAGTTTTTACAATAAAGTTATTCTATAAGTTATAGCGGTTTTATATGACTTTCGTATTATAAGCATTTTTTTTTTAAAGTTGGAATATTGAATATTTGAACGCTTTCATGTATTGTCATCAAACTTTAATTTAAACACTGAAAATGTTCAACAATAGCGTGTTTTCTAGGAAATAATAAATATTAAATTGGTGACATATAAAATATACTACTCTATGCTAGTAATAAAATGGTTTAAAATGAGAAATGAATATTTATTAGTTTTTAAAATACATGTAGTTTACTATAGTTAATAAGCACTGATTATCCATAAAAAATTTAGTTTTTCGCTAAATAATACCGTTAATACGAACAAAATCAAAATTTCAAAAAAATTACAAAATAAAACTGACGTAAAATAATTATTAATATATATAGTTTATTTTGTAATGAAAATATATTTCACCGCAGTACCATGATGTACTGGAATAGATAACGAAGCTTCATAAGCAAAGTTAATTAAAAAGGTTTTTGAGGATAAAATTCAGATCTTTCAACATGTATTAGAAATCTTATAATGTTAAATTCTATGGAATGGTAAGGGTTTAGTTGTTTTCCACGATACCTTGATGTTTACCCTGAACTTGTGGTGACTGATGCCATTGAAAACAGTTGGCTTTAACAGAATCTGTGAAATTGTCAGAAAAGGCAACAAAAATAATTTTCCAGTTGTGTACTATATGTAACTGAATAAAAACTACATAGAAAAGACTGGTATAGCAGACAAATAAAAGCATATATTTAGTGAGAAAAGTTAACGTCTAAGACAAGATATACCCTTCACCAATGAATATCAACAACATAGAACATCTTCAGCTGTTCTTTGCTAAAATACTTATTGCAAGCAAGAGAAATACGAGTAGAAGAAATAAATTTCTATTGGTACAATTCACCTGGGTTTCACCGTATTTCCATCTCGTAAAATGAATCGTCACCTTGTAAACACATTTAAACATTTATATATTGCAGTAATATTCAATTGCAATATTCAAAATGTCATAACTTTAAATTAAACAACATACATGTAGATTTTTCATCATAAACTATCTTTATTATAGAATACTGTAAAATATACAGTACTGTATGACGAACTGTATAAAAGGAATATCTTGCGGTGGTTTTAATTTCACTATATTTGAAAACAAAGAATTCCCGTCGAACATTTATCCATTTGTCCACATAGATGCATGCTATATTTTTTGAAATTCTGTTTTCCTGTTGCGTAATAGTAATCAATGAAAATCTTCAGGAAACCTAAGGTTAATAATAATGACGATTAAAAATACAGGTTACACTTGTTATAAATAATTAAGCACAAGTTTCCTTTTTTTTTTTTTTAAAGAATTCGTTTAAATTGTAAATAAAGGCAAACCTCGTTATCTTAACCTCGATGGGACCGAGAAAAAAATTCAGATTCAAGACATTAAGGGTAAAATACTTAAAGGATATTTGGTTGGGACCTTCATATCAATTCAACATATTCATAGTATTCTATATATATTGGTGTTGCCAGAAAACCGAAATGTTCAACTGTATTTGACAATGAGAAATTCGGTGACCGCGAAATTAATATAATGTATCAAACAAGTGAAATTAAAGGCGTTTATTAAAAGTTTAAAAAAACGTAGTGATGGTGAAGAGATATCGGTTAATCCACCTTCCAAATTGGAAAACAAATGAACATGCAGCAACACAAATATTTTACACCTTTCTGGGTAGTTTGGTTAACGATCACTTTCACGAACCAATAAAATGTTTTATAGCCTGGAGATTCCAAAGATTGTTTTATATGTGCACGTATATTCTTGGTGTGTTATTGGATGAACCCCAGAATCACTAGATGTTACCGAACATACCATTCTTAATGTAACTAAATACTCTCCACGTGATGTTTATCAAGAAATGAAAAATTCTACAAGGAAACCTGCAAATTTTATTTTTTACAGACACATAAATAATAAATTTAAACATATACTGATAAAATCCCCATGGCTACATCAGCCTCAACACACTTAAAATATATCATTATATTATACCTGGATTCCGACAGTCTTTTTAGTGTTGGCGACCACATCAGACCTGGGCGCCGCTGGACCGGATGCGTTCGTTGAGGTAGTGATGACGCTGGAGGCCGTGCAGAGTGACGGTAACTTAAGACTGTCTAACGTCAGGGAGCGGGCACCGATCCCAACCGACTTGTTCTGTCTCTAAAAGTATATACACAGAAGGCTTTCAAAGCAACAAACTTAACAAAAATGGCATGGTCGGTGGGTGGATGTATGTCTAGTTGTCTACCAGGAATGGGATTTTTTTTAGAATTTAATTCTAGAATCATAAAAACCAATGTCGTCAGCATAGTTCAATACTTGTCTTTTTCATAAAAATTAATGTCGTCTAACAATTTAGGTCTTTGTTTCCCAGCAATGTAGGTTTATATGGTCTCGTTCTCCATTATATACTAAAACAAGAAAAAAGTAATCATCTGTATATTATCACTTTACAGCCTACACACCCCCCCCTTATTTTTTTTGCTTGTCAAAAATTTCCAGACTTCCCGCAAAGTTTGAAGTAAGGATCAACTCCTTACCACCGCGGCATGCAGGCAAGCGTTTTCGAATAAAGGCTAAATATGAAAAGGTATCATAAATGGTGCTTTTTAATAACATGAAAAACACTTAAACCAAACAAAAAACAGTTTTGCTTAGTTACTTTCACTTTTACAATGTTCAAATCCAGTTAGTTGATTTTCAACCCACAGCAGCCTTATTTCCGTGTATAACTATGGCACGCCAAATTCACAAAAGACACATGCCACAATGATAAACTAGGTTTATCGGTTGTAATTAATTTACAAACCGTAAACTATAGTTAACAACGTTTCTATATTTCGCATTGTAAACCATAGTTAACGCGATAATCTATGTTTCACAACCGTAAACTATACTTAACAAAAACAATCATTTGCGATTGCAAAACATTTATCTGATAAATACAGCTTTGTAAACCATAGTTTACAAACCGTTAACTATAGTTAACATCTTCGATAAATATAGTTTCACAATTTGTGAGACTATGATTAACAATTCTTAACTATAGTTGCTTTTTAAAAACATTTACAAGACACTTTATCAACAAAATCAATTGTTAACGCTTTATTACAGACAGATAAACTTATTTTCAAACTATAGTTAACAACCGTTAAATATAGTTTTACAGATGAAAACTATACTTAACGAATGTTAAAACACCACAGTTAACTTAGTTTACGGTTTGTAAACTATAGTTTACAGTCGATAAACCTAGTTTATCAATTTAGAAACTAGGTTTATCTCATATTTGTGAATTTGGCGTGCCATATATAACTGTAAGCTATGATTAATATCTTAACAAACTTCAGTCATCTATATTTTTAATGATTTGGAATTTTCCGTACACTATACAAGAATAAAATTTCCTATTTAAATTGAACAATCACTTTTAAAATTCTTTTCTTACTACACCACACGTGTGAAGGACCACGCGAATTCTGTCAAAAATTTGAATTGTAAACGCGTTGATATTATCTCAGTCTACAGCCTTGCATTCACGAGAACAAAGTAAATATTTAAAGTACCAATTCATGCATCTTTGAAAAGATCTTGTGTTAAGTATGAAATTCAAATTTTGACATAAGATATGACCACATGGGGCAAATGCCAAGCAAAAAGTACATAACGGAATCCGGATCTTTATTTCAAACTTTATCCATGTATTTAAATTGGACTTTTGAAAATAACAGACTGAAATTGAACTTGTTATCTTTCATTTCTCTTTTCCTACCTTAGGAACAATTTGAGCCTTAACTCCGAAATCGATTTTTGGCAAATTTCTATTACGATCTTGAAGAACTTTCCATCTCTGAATATATGAACTTCTGTCCGTTTTACGATTTTTACGAAAAGTCACTGGACTGGGTGCTCTAGGGCTTGTTTCTGGAGAATATGTAGACATTTCCTCCCAAATTTTACTCAAGATGAATTAAAATGGTGCATAACTTTTCAAACTTTCCATTAATTCACACATGGTCCATGATTTTTGAACTAGAACCCGAAGTCCACGTTATTTTACTCTGTGTGAATCCATGGCACATTTCACATTACATTGAATCTCAAATATTGAGCATCAATATAAACACACACATTGAATACAATACATATATGCCGTCAACCACTTTTAAAGAAGACCTCTTATATTCTTTAGGCGATGTGTACACAGTTACACTTTGTTAAACTCCCAAAAATTCTTTGTTTTGATTATTTACACTTTATCTCTTCATTTTTTATCAACAGAAAAATCGGGACAACAGATACACAACATAATTAGTTCTGCGTTGACATGGGGGCTTAAAAATAAGTAAATCCCTTGCAACACCGAATCAACCTGATCAATCAGGGAACGAGCAGTGGTGGAATTCTTATTGCCCACCGACGGATTTTAGTTGTGATCCGCTTTTGATCTCTTGTCCCGTAAAGAAAGCTTGTGATTTCCCATGTACTCTATACTAATGTAGATTACCCTAAGCGCTATTTATAAGGAATAAAAAATATCGTGCCATAAGCTCATTTTATTGATTTTATGTTCAAACTTTCATGAGCTTAACAGGTTGGAAGTAAGAAACTTAGTTTCTTGACATGTAAATAGGATAATTGAACAGCGAATTGTTTGTTTTGGGAATCTTTAAATTACACGTACTATGGAAGCTATCAATTATAAAATAAACCCTGTAATGATCAATTTTAAAATCTTTTTGTCGGTCGTATCTAGATCAATAATTTAGATTCAATGTTCATTATGATTTGACGTCTAAGCATTTACTTGTAATGAATTGAACACTTAAATACCTCTATTTCATGTATTGATTACCACTTATCAAAATTTTAAACATACTTAATCGACAATTTCATTTTAGAGTAAAAAAAAAAAAGAACGCATAATATATGAAGGCCAAGAAAGCCATATTCACTATTCATAAATTATACGTGTATAGTGAAGCAGCCCCTCCCTCATGACACAATATTTCAACAAACATGATATAATTTAAAAGTTTTATGCAAGTTAAATAACTTTGAAATTTCTTTTTATGTCCCCATAATCGAAGATTCGGGTGTGAAACGTTATGTTTTTTGTCCTGCCAAGGGACTTGTTAAGACTTTTAAACACGTATTAACACATGTAAAATCACTAAAATGATAAATAATTATTTATCATGACATTCGTCTGTCTTTCTGTCTGCCAGTTTGTCCGCAAATACGTCAACCTTGCCCATATTTTTTGAGTGGCTGGGGCTATGGCTTTCATATTTCACAGGTGTATTCCTTGTGACAAGATCTTTCTTAGGGTACCAAAATATTTGACCTCCTGACCATGACCTTGGATTTTGAACAACTGTTACCATTTTTTTTTCAAACTTAACCATTGCTACGTAATAACTTTTGACCAGTTGTGCTAGGACTTTCATACTAGTGTCTTTCAGTAATTAACAATTTTCAATTGCCAATGAGTATATGACTACTAAATAATTAGGCATGTACTCATTGGCAATTGAAAATTGTTAATTAGTGAGAGACACTAGTATAAATTGTCACAAGGCCTTTCAATGGGTTCAAATATTTTTGACCTTGACCTTAGAGTTTGACCCACTTTTAAAAGAATTACACCTTGGCTATACCTTTTGAACAGTTAGTACCAGAGCTTTCATATTTCTCAGATACAGGTATATATCTTTGTGACAATATCTTTCTTTGGATACCAATAATTTTCACCTTTTGACTTTGGAGTTTGACTTGCATTTGAGAAACTTCAACCCCCTGCCATACGGGAACATTAGTGTTTCACAAAGACATCTTGTTTCATCATTTTGTAAATCCTCCTTTAAAGTTCCAAAATGATTGCTTGAGCAGTTATTGAGAAAGCCGAAGTTAAAGAATTTTCATGGGAACGATAAGCAGGTTGAAATTTTAAAAGTTGACTGGACAACTACAATTTTTGATGGTCATATATTTAAAGTTTCTCGACAACTGTCCATTGCAAGGGATCAGCGAAAACACGCACGCACGAAACTCATGTAACTTTTTCTTGTACATGTGCACGTTAGTTTTAGTTTACTTCCACGTGTAAAAAAAATTAGAACAGGGTTACAGACAGATTCTCAGTATAACACATCTTTTTCGAGTGAGGATATGGTCAAATAAAATCTGGGAAGCAACTTATCCATAGGGAGTGATTTTCACGAGTTGTTCCAACCTAGAACACTATAAAGACTTTCGTCAAATAGCTTTGACACTCCGAAGAAGGTCTGACACACAGGGGCCGGTAACATACTGTATTTGATTTTGCGTTATCACTATATGTATACAAAAAAACACTCGTTTTGTATACATATAGTGATTAGGTAAAATCAAATACAGTATGTTACCGGCCCCTGTGGTCTGACACATCAGAACCGGGTAAGGATAAGTTCTGCCTAGGGGTGTCAGCGAATATTCGAATATTCATTCGATGAGTTGATATTCGAATATAAAGTTATTGTTCGAATATTTTTTTAAGTATACATCCGCATCCCGCGTCAAGGTAATACCCCGGGGGTATCGGAAACATCAAACATAAGCTATTAAAATGTTTGATACAATAAGCCTCGTGTCAGGATAAGATCTAACACGTCAAATCCCTGCGTCAAGGTAGTCCGACTTGTCAATTCAAAGCTCGTGTCAAGATAAGCCTTGACAAATCAAAGTAAAGTCATCGTTTCACATTAAAAAACCTAAAGGTACTGTGGACACTGAGCTCATTCAATGATACCTCGCCTCCCATACCATTATAATGGCAAAGTCTATGCCTTGCTCTGGGAGACCCGAAATAAGTGTCAGATCAAAAAATAAAATAGGAGGCGCACAATGGCATTATGCGACAAGGGGTCTGTGAAAGTATCATTACATTTTATACAGTGGTATAGGAGGAGTTACGGATAGGGGATGGGTACCCTTCAGTATTATAGAAAGAATGGCAGTGTCCATGTTATGCTATGAGAAATATGCGCAGGGGCGTAGCCAGGGTATTTTTGATGTGGACGCCCGAGTAGGCAGGGGGTTTTGGGGTTCACCTCAAAGCCCCCAATAGGTTTGACCTGGGTGGGAGCCCAGTTGTGAAGCCACCGGAAGCTAGTGAATTTTCGAAGATTTCGATGTGCATATTCAACACTCCTATCGCATTTTTCTTACACTTAATAAGTATGTTACGCAGGACTTCATATTAGATTTTAACCTCAAAAAAGGAGAAAAGATCTGTGGCCCAGGGAGGGGGGGGGGGCTCCCCCCACTTCATTTTTTTCCAGACACAACCTTTTACTATTGAAAATGTCACGGTTCATCGAACCCCCCCCCCCGCTTTTTTGGAGGTGTCAAGGTCAAATGAGGCTATTGTATTGTATCAGAAAGAAAAGAATTCGTACGGAAAGAATTTAAACCTACATTGTACCTACCCCCACCCCCTAATAGGGATTTCGAGTTTGGGCACCTCGCTCTCTTTTTTCTCTCCATCTTTTTGCTTGTCAAGTTTATTTTAGGTAGGTTGTAATTTTTTCTCTGGTTGCCACCCTTCAAAAACGAATGTCGCTGTATGTCACTGGAAAGTCGGTATTAGAATGTCATTGATTTAGAAAAAAATATCAGCAGTATTCAATAGTAAACCCAATTCCGGGAAAATCTAATGATTCCAGAAAGATGCATGATATCCTATCTTTTCCCCCTAAAAGCTGATTCTGTTAATTTCCATTTATTTTTATCGTTATTTAAATTGTAATTTTATTTTTATTTTCAAAATTGTTTATTTTACATGTATTTTATTTCATTTATTGCGAAAAGATGTGTATGCTTTTTAAAGGCATACAAGCATAGATGGCAATTAGTCCTGTCCCTCTCATCCTCTCCTTTTTTTCAAAAATGATGTGGACGTTTTTGCGTAAAACGTACGCATGGCTACGCGCCTGAATGCGTCGGATCAAAAAGTCATATAGGAAGTGCACAATGGCATGCACTAGGTTACAAAGATTCTGTGAGAGTCTCATTTAATTTCATGCAGTTGTAAAAGAGGAGTTGTGGATAAGAGATTGGTACCCCAAGCATAACGGACGGACAGACGGACGGACATCCCGATCACTATATAATCCCCTCCCCCCACCCCACTTTTCAAGCAGGGGGTATAAAAAGAGGCCCATGAGTCGTTTAAGAATATCAGCCGAAAATTTAAACCATTAGTATCTTACGTGAGACCACTTTATATAGCCCCATCTTGAACTTAAACCCAGTTCCCTAGAGACAAAACTTACAGCTCGATCGATGGATCTTGTCTCCTAGAATATCAGGTTGTGCATATCATATTTCAATAAATAACCGCCTCAGTCCTAACCTGAAAACAAATTCTTGGATTCGAGGGACGTGATTTTTGTAGAGGAATATGCTATATGTGTATGCATATTCAATCTGCCTAATAGATATTTATGGGAAATTTTTAAGGTGCAAAAATGTGGCACCATCTTAGACATACCCTGGGCCAGTGGGCCATGAGTTTGATAACAGGTTAAGTACAAGTACTCAAGGTATAACATATCCTACAGTTTCCAGTTAGAGGTCCTTGAGAAAACTACATGTATATAGCATATCATTTTACAAACTGCAAGGAGCATAACCTTAAAGTCAGTCGGAGACACTGAATTTTACATATTTTGTAAAGGGATTATTACTCATAATTAAATCAATGGTTTATCTGCAAGATATCGAAGAACGTTTTCTATATACAGAACCGAATGTTCTTTTCAGCAGGTTACATTTTAAGACTGTACATAAGAAACTGTTGATGGAGATCGAAAAGGAGCTTCGAGGGTTATTTATCAACATCTGTAGGCTAAAAGAAAAGAAGAGTCCAATACATTCAGGGTAATGACAAATAGGGATGGGTATCGCCAAAAATTTCGTATCGTGATATATCACGATTTTTTCGAGAATATCACGATAATATCATGATATTTTAACAAGCAATTTTTACAATGATTTTAAATGAAAAGTCATTATTTTTTTCTTAAAATATGCTAGAAAAACAAAAATTCACTTTTTTGATCATTATGTACATAAAATTATTTCTGTTTGGATGGTAAAATGCCGTTCTTTTCACCTTTTACAACATTTTTTAGACTTTCTGTAATTGTAATTTGAAAGATTGAACAAATAAATGAATAATTTCTGGACTTTATAATATGTACCTAAAGACCGGTATTTAGGTCTCCGTATCACGATACGTATCACGCAACAAAAAATCGCGATATACCGGTATACCGATAAAATCTCACATCCCTAATGACAAAGGCAGCATAAGCTTTTTATGCAATGTATGATAGGTGTTTCTGAGTCACACAATGACTCTAAGTTATATAACAGAGATATAAAATAAAACTCTACTCATTAAATTTCCATAAGTAAAAACTTTAAACCACTAAGATTTTGTTTAGTGTTCAAATTTTGAATGGATCGTATTTCACATATATTGCAACATTAATTTTAGAATCATATAACTAAGGATTAGTGCAAAGAAGACTTACCTTTAGTGTTAACATGGACATCTTCAATCTGTCTCGGCCAAAGTGAGTAGTATGCTGTCGTATGTGGCTGGGGAAGAATTGTCCACCAGAGTTAACATTCCCTTTGTCTTTATCCCCGTCTTCACTGCTCTCTTTCTCCTCCTTCTTAACATTACTATCCTCCCGGTGGAAGTATTTCAGAGACACGCGTCTTTGTTTGGGTTTAACGTTACATTGCATCCTTAGTCCTTTTCTGTTAACTTTTGTCCTCTGTCATTATTTTGCAATCCTAAGTTTTTGATCTTTGGACGAAATTTCTCTGTGTTTATGGTCATCTCAATAATATAAAATAATCCAGGTCCGCAATTGAGGGTAGCATTAAGCCTTCAACTTGACGGGTGGCCAAGATTACATTAATAAATCAAGTAAGTAGGGCGTAAAATTGCTCATTAGAAGTGATTTCATTACGATGAAATAAGTTAAAGCTTCATTCCTTGTGTTGCAGGAGTGAGCACTTTCACTTAAAAGATAGTAAGAACTATTTGACTATCATGTCAAAGATTGATTATGCAAAAATACGTGTAATAAATTGGTGAAACGAGGACCTTTCCTTTCATATAGGGTATAAACAACGTGTCTTGATATTTTCACCTAGTACATGTATGTGGCGGATCTCGTTGAATAAAGTGAAAGTAAATTGCACTCATTTTAATGATTACTTCTTCAGGAAACAAGATGTGTTTGTAAAACACTGATGCCCCCGTATGGCAACATAGCAAAGATTAAGCTTTTCTTAAATGCAAATTTAATCAATTGGTAGTAGGGTATTCTCACTGGAAAACAATTGTGAAATTTGAAAGTAAGCTAGTGTTAAAGTTTTAAATAAGTATAAAAATCTCCAAGGTCAAAAGGTCAATGTAATTAGTATCAAATGAAAGGTCATGCCACATAAAATACTTACGTAGAGCATGAAAGCCCTAACCCTAACCGTTCAGAAGTTATGGTCAACGTTCAATTCCTTAAAACATAGGTCAAACTCCAAGGTCAAGGTCAAAGGGTCAAAGTTATTGTTACAAATGAAAGGTCTTGTCATAAGGATCAAATATGTGAAGTATGAAAGCACTAGCCCTAACTCTTTAAAAGTTATGGTCAAGGTTTGCTTTTTTCAAGTAGGTCAATCTCAAAGGTCAAGGTCAAAGGGTCAAAGTTCTTGGTATCCAATGAAGGGTCTTCTCACAAGGATTACATATATGAAGTATGAAAGCCCTATCCCTTACCGTTCAAAAGTTATGGCCAAGGTTAATGTTTTTTCACAAGTACGGAAATCTACAAGGTCAAGGTTGTTAGAATCCAGTGAAAGGTCTTTTAACAAACGTTGCATTTGTGAAGTATAAATGTCCTGGTGTCTACTGTTCAAAAGATATGGCCAAAGTAAAATTTTAAAATTTTCATGTAAAAGTGGGTCAAACTCCAAGGTCAAGGTCAAAAGGTCAAATTTGGTGGTACATAAAGAAAGGTCTTGTCACAAGGAATACACATATGAAATATGAAAGTCATAGCTCCACTAAATCAAAAGTTATGGGCAAGGTTAAAGTTTTTGCGGACAAACAAACAGAGAGACAGACAGACAGACGGACACGACAAAAACTATATGCCCCCGAAACTTCGTTTACGGGGGCATAAAAAGTCTTTACATGCAGTCAAATAAGTCTTTGATAATGAAATCTACTTTTTATGCCCCCGAAGAAGATTCGAGGATATAGAATTTTTTCACTGTCCGTGCATCTGTCTGTCTAGCTGTTTGTCTGCAAAAACTTAACCTTGCCTACAGTCTAACGTTTGAGCGAGTAAGCCAGGGTTACAGCTTTCATATTTCACAGGCGCCTGTGTCTCAGGTGTATTCCTCATGACAAGACCTTCCTTTGGGGACAGCCAAAGAATAAGATAGGACAACAGCCAATCCAGGCCCCCTCTTCAAAGAAACTTATATAATATGTAATCCAAGGGTACACCCAAGCCTATCCCTGTAATTTGGTTGCCTAGCAACACATCAAACATAACAACCATGATTTGAATTTAAAGTCAATTTCAATTTGGGGGCCATGCGACATTACTTGTCCTATCTTGTTCTTTTGCCTCTTGACCTTGGAGTTTAGACCTCTTTTACAAAAAATTACCAAACTTTATCTTGGCCATAACTTTTGAGCAATTTTAATTTTTAAGCACCTTAACAAAGGACAAGATAGGTTAAGACCGTTTTTTGGCCCATCATATCAAATAAAGGGCCAGATTCGGCCGTTACCATACCTTATCCTTTCAAACATTGACGTTAAATGATTGATGTGCTCATTAGGAATAAATGCAGCTTTGTAGATAATGGTAACTAAATAGCACCTATATTCCAGCTGGGCCCTAATGAATGTGAAATTGGCTTCAAGGCTAGATATGATTCAATACGCCCTGACTTAAATGATTAGTACTTATATAGTTCCCAAATCCACATACATGTATTAATTGTATTTAGATCTTTGTCTTACTTTTAAAAAGCAACTATTTATTATATATAAAAGAAAAGTTTCATAGATTGTATATTTCACTTTATTTATATTTTTAAGATCAATAGCAAAAAGATAATTATATATCATTGTTTTCAATCTGATTAAATATGATCATTTTACAAAATTTTTGTGCCTGTATCATTTTCAAAGCACTTCTAATAAGAGATGTACACTTGATTTAAAAATCTATATAAAAAAAATATTATTTCATAATTTACATATATATTTTCACATGGGTTTATTGTTCCAGCACTTATTTTTTGAGACACAGTGTCATCTAGGATGACTAGATGAATTATACTGAAATCACTGCTGAAGATTTAAGGAGCGTCTTGATCGGGGTCTTTGATGCTTCACAATGGCGACATTCCTACTAACGTTTGGACTTTTCTCCACTATATCAGAGCTGACAAGAGGAGAATTCATTAGATGCATCAGACTTTTGGCCGAGACATTAGGAGAGTATTTCCTACCAGAAGGAGACACCTTTTGTCCGGAATTTCCTCCATTATTTGAACCTGACAAATGTATTTTTCTAGTTTTTTTCCCGGATCCAAATACTGGAGAATTACAACCAATGTCAGTGTGTGTGTTCTGTTCTGTGATATTTGTGTCCATCTTTTCCCCATTTTGACTCTGTGACAAGAAAACTTCATCATTTGTATTGGAAAACTCCATGGAAGAGGTACTAGCTTGAGACAATCTACTTAAGTGAGAATGGAAACCCAGACTGCTAGACTGGGAATCTGTCAAGCCTGTTGTGTCAAATCCCTCACTGTTTCCACTAGCAAAAGAAAGCAATGAAGTATTCTTTTCAATTATTTTGTGATGAAGGGTATATGATGTTCTTAAAGTACTCTGATCAACGTTTGTTAACAATGTTCTCTTCCTTTTGCTTGGTGAGAATATGGTTGACAGGTCCTCTGTACACTCCAGGCCTCTCTTTCTGCTGTTTATTTGTCTGTCTTCCTGTGACAGGGAAGAGAAGATGGTTTCATTGTCCTCTTCAGCTGCCTTGCTTTCCTGGCTGCTTTGAGTACTATCAGTACCAAACTTCCTTGCCAATTGTTTGGGAGATAACATGCTTTCATCTCTGCCTCTTTTCCTTCTTTGCCAGTGGTTAAGAGAACTTGGTGTCCGAATTTTCCTTTGGATTTTAGGGGAAGGAGTTTTATTCTTTTCTGGTGATTTCTTTACGTCTTTGTTTCCATCACTTATTGATGTTGAACTTGATGATTCATCTGTGTGTTTTTCATCTAAATTATTTGGTGTCAGATTTTCAGTGTTGCCATTGTCTTTGTCAATAGTGGTAGTTCTTTGACCTTTCACTGGTGTTTTACTCAGTATTAATCTTCGAGCTTTTGGGGTTGATTTTGATGGAGTTTTTCTGTTTTTATTGTCTTCCATGGGCTTGCCCTCAGGACTTTTTCCAAATAAAAGAGCACGGACAGATTTTCTTGTTGGGGTCATCATAGTCTTGGATCTAGTGTTATTACTGGGAGACTCAGCTACTAGCATATCAGGAGATTTTCTGGGTGTGTTGGTAAATTTTATATTTTTGTCTTTTTCTTCTGACTTTTCTAGTCTTGGTGAGTGTCGAACAACTTTTGGTTGACTCCTTCTACAATTAGGACTCTCCTGAAACAAAGCTTTAGGAAAACCTTTGGATACACATGGAGACCTGGACCTTGTGAACATACTAGGGGACTCAGCAATGACTTTCTTTGGAGTTCCTTTTCCTGGTGTCTTGGATGTTTTCTTTTGTGGAGTTGGACTTCCCATCAACTGTGATAGCAAGAATGAAGAATTTTTGTCTGGTGACTTGAATAAAGCTGACTGACTTGGAGGTTTTTTGAGAATACTGTTGAGTGTTCCTGAAGAGTGTTGACTCCTGCCTGCAATTCTATCTCCCAATTCAATGTTTGCTTGGGTCATCGACCTAGACCTTATCAGAGGACCTGCTGAGGCTGAATAAAATGAACGTCTGACCTTATGCAGAGCACGTTTATTCTGGGATGGGCTGAGTATTGATGGTCTCTCTGCAAAAAGAAAGAAATGGAAAAAAATTTAAAATACTTTTGTCTCCAAAGCATACAGCATTTGCAACTGAACAAGGAGACTAATGGAAATGAAACTGAAGACTTACCTGACTTGGAAGAATGGTGACTCATGAAATCATTCACCATTCTCAAGTTTGATCAGATTACTTGACAATCCATGAAAAATACCATTTGTACTCAATTATGATTTCCCCATTTCAGGAATGGTGACTTTTTACTCAAGAATGGAGATTGATCTGATTCGAGGAATTGGAACCTAACTAACTTGACGAACCTCGAGAAAAGTGACTTAATCAAACCTATGTGATATTGACTTGACTTAGGAACAGGGACTGATCTTAGTTCAGGAATGGAATCTCTACTTAAGGGATGAGCACTGACCTGATTTGAGGGGCGATTCCTTTACCACCTTTACTGCAGTATTGCTCAGGGATCTCCTTCTTTCTGCCTCCAGTCGTTTCCACATAGCTGAATTCTTCTGTTTGTGTGACGGGGTCTCAGAAACCAGAGGTTTTCTGACTGGAGACTTGAATGGTGGAGACAATAGGTCTGTCAGAAAGTAAGAAAACACAAGTGTTCTTCACTGGAGGGATATAATACATGTCTATCTTTCAGAGACATTTAACAATTTAGTGTTTAGACCAATCAGAAGATGTATTTTAAGGAATCAATATTTTAAAAATTTATTTGCAAGAGGGCCATAAAATTATGCCTTGTAAACAAAATTGATTTTTAACATAATCAAGTCTTAAAAGCAGTGATTTAAGAAACTATAGGTTTACATGATCAGATGAAAAGGAGTATTCGTGATATACCACAATAGTTATGGCAGTGAATTAACACTTTAACTTAATCACTCAATAGTTTTAATTTCCCCTGACAACAATAAAAAATATTTACGCTAGAAACTGTTTTTTAAAATCTATATTTACATTTAGATGACTTGAGTTTTGAGGATGCCAGTTTCCTTCCTTTGGGTGACTTGATGGTCTCCATCACTGCCACTGACTGTCTTCTCTCTAGCTTTATCTTGCTCTTAAACTGCTTTGTTAAATCTAAATATTACAATTTAAAACATTTTTTTTTAATTACAAAGAATTAAAAAATATTTTGAAATTCAAAATTATTATCCAGGGTTGACTTTCTTTATGAAACCAACATATACAGTAACTTCATATTCATATACTTGAATGAAATTTTTTTCCTCCCTATGAACAAGTTTTGTTTTTATTTTTTTGTACTTGCACATATAAGCAATAATTTCCATACCTCTTTTTGATTTTCTCCTCTTCCGTGAAGAAGAAGGCTCCTAATAATGAAACATACATTCTTTTTATTGAATTATACTGGCAATCATGTACTGTATATATCTTAAAGACCTGGAAATTATTTTGACACTAGCTGTGCATTTATGAATCACAGAATTAAAAAAAAAAGATGTTTGTAAAACACTAATGCCCCCCCCCCCCCTTCAAATAATTGGAATTTTTTGAGGTCCAAGGGACATAACTCCGTCAAACATTGCTTGATCATACCCAAGACAAAACTTGACCTAGGTATTCTTATGATAAATCTGTGCCAAATGTCATTTCAATATGTACAACCTCTGCGAAGAAAATGAATGGAAACTGACGGTGGACCAACAGACAGAACGACTGACCGACAGACAGCAGCAAAGCAATATGTCCTCCCTTCAAAGGGGGGCATGAAAATCACAATTTAGAGCAGTTTTTCAAATCGCAATTGAACCTATGGAGTAAAATTCCACATTTTATTTAGCAATTGTTACAAACCTAAATAATCGATGTATTGTATATGTATATCAAAGATGTAACTTGTATGTAGATCACTTAATTTTCGTATTTTCGCGATCAACTCTTTATTAGCAAGACACAATTTTCACGAATTGTGGTCACTGATATAATCTTAAGGAATTCTTATACGCGAGAATGAAATTTTTGCAGTTAATTCTTGCGAATAAAAAGTGATTTACAGTAATACTTACTCATAATTACTAAGACAAAGTCATTTAATTCTTACCTTAACATTTGATGTAGAGGTGTTGACAAATATCTGACGTTTCGATCCAATATCAGACAAACTAGGGTAGTGCATGATTTTTCTGGTCCTAAAATACAATACAATACAAAATTTAAATTTTGCCTATTTTCCTTTGCACAATGATAGAAAATACTGTAAAATCACATTTTTGTGGGGTCACATTTTTGTGCATTTGAGAAATTTAATTTTGTGGTTGAAAAGTGCTGAGTTGTTAAAAATTTGAAATTTTTACATTTTGTTCAGGCATTCAGTTTGTGAGTTTCTACATACCAGGACCCCATGAAAGTGATTTCACAGTAAAAGACAATTACTTTACCTTGTTTTACTAACTGGCACATCATTAGACTTGGGTAACTCCTCTGAGATAGACGGAGGCTGTGAGGACGATGGGGCTGCACTTTTGTCAAGCTGCTCCGCCTCCAGGGCTGATTTGCTGAACACTGATTGGTCAGCACTGTTGTCAGGAGACAGAATGGCTTCCAGGGCAACAGGAAGTGGCTGCATCAGTTCATCGTAAACATTACCCAGAGTTTGTGGCAGTGTGTGGATGTAACTATAATAAATTACTTAAAACTGACCTTTACTGTGGACAGATTTTTACTTGACACAACATATAAGTAAATATTATGATAAAAAAGAAATATTCATTCTCATCAAAACCAAAAGTCTCTCATACAACAGTTTTAACTTTATACTGTATCAGAAGAAATAGGCATTTGTATTTGTAGTGTTTTTCTCTGTTTAAATTTTTTTCTCAATAGTGTGACCCATCCCAACATTATTATCGGAAGGAAAGGATAAACAAGAGGCCCAAGGGCCTTGAATCGCTCTTCTGATAAATTGTACAACCTATCACTTGTATTTGAAGCCTCTAACCCTAAATATCCTAAAACCTAAGTTGCATCAACTGATAAAAAGTTTAATGATTCTTAGCCAATTAGGACTGAAGATATTTTAATAAAGCTATTAAAAAAACCAGAAGTCTCTGTCGAGACTGAAGCTCTACTGGTTTGTAATTATAGCAAAGGAAGAGAAAAGTACTTAAAAGCAGTTGGGAATTGAAACTTTTCAATAGCAATAAATAGAATAATAATCCTTGATTAAGTCTCTTTATGTTCTTAGTGTAGTCTACTTGCATGCCACATTATATTATAATCAGACTAAAACTGTATTTGGAGTAACATTTTGAAATAATTTAACAGAAATTTCTATTTTTAGTAACCAGGGCAACACAGTTTATCGAAATCAAAAACCGATACACAGAATTATGTATCTTAGTGTAGTCTACTTGTGTGCCAAGTTATATTAAAATCAGACCAAAACTGTAGGAGGAGTAGCATTTTGAAAGAATTTCACAGAAATTTCTATTTTTAGTAACCACGGCAACACCGTTCATCGAAATCAAAAACTGATAAACAGAATTATGTATTTTAGTGTAGTCTACTTGTGTGCCAAGTTATACTGAAATCAGACTAAAACTGTAGGAGGAGTAGCATTTTGAAAGAATTTCACAGAAATTTCTATTTTTAGTAACCACGGCAACACCATTCATCGAAATCAAAATCCGGTGTACAGAATTATGTATCTTAGTGTAGTCTACTTGTGTGCCAAGTTATACTGAAATCAGACCAAAACTGTAGGAGGAGTAGCATTTTGAAAGAATTTCACAGAAATTTCTATTTTTAGTAACCACGGCAACACCGTTCATCGAAATCAAAAACCGATACAAAGAATTATGTATCTTAGTGTAGTCTACTTGTGTGCCAAGTTATACTGAAATCAGACAAAAACTGTAGGAGGAGTAGCATTTTGAAAGAATTTCACAGAAATTTCTATTTTTAGTAACCACGGCAACACCGTTCATTGAAATCAAAAACCGATACAAAGAATTATGTATCTTAGTGTAGTCTACTTGTGTGCCAAGTTATACTGAAATCAGACCAAAACTGTAGGAGGAGTAGCATTTTGAAAGAATTTCACAGAAATTTCTATTTTTAGTAACCACGGCAACACCGTTCATCGAAATCAAAAACCGATACACAGAATTATGTATCTTAGTGTAGTCTATTTGTGTGCCACGTTATATTAAAATCAGACCAAAACTGTAGGAGGAGTAGCATTTTGAAAGAATTTTACAGAAATTTCTATTTTTAGTAACAACGGCAACACTGTTCATCGAAATAAAAAACCAATACACAGAATTATGTATCTTAGTGTAGTCTACTTGTGTGCCAAGTTATACTGAAATCAGACTAAAACTGTAGGAGGAGTAGCATTTTGAAAGAATTTCACAGAAATTTCTATTTTTAGTAACCACGGCAACACCGTTCATCGAAATCAAAAACCGATACAAAGAATTATGTATCTTAGTGTAGTCTACTTGTGTGCCAAGTTATACTGAAATCAGACCAAAACTGTAGGAGGAGTAGCATTTTAAAAGAATTTCACAGAAATTACTATTTTTGTAACCACGGCAACACCGTTCATCGAAATCAAAAACCGATACAAAGAATTATGTATCTTAGTGTAGTCTACTTGTGTGCCAAGTTATACTGAAATCAGACCAAAACTGTAGGAGGAGTAGCATTTTGAAAGAATTTCACAGAAATTTCTATTTTTTAGTAACCACGGCAACGCCGTTCATCGAAATGAAAAACCGATACACAGAATTATGTATCTTAGTGTAGTCTATTTGTGTGCCACGTTATATTAAAATCAGACCAAAACTGTAGGAGGAGTAGCATTTTGAAAGAATTTCACAGAAATTTCTATTTTTAGTAACCACGGCAACACCGTTCATCGAAATCAAAAACCGATACACAGAATTATGTATCTTAGTGTAGTCTACTTGTGTGCCAAGTTATACTGAAATCAGACCAAAACTGTAGGAGGAGTAGCATTTTGAAAAAATTGTTTACAGACAGACAGACGGACAGACAGACAGACGGACGGACGGACGGACGACGGACGCATTACTATCGCATAAGCTCTTCTGGTCTCTGACCAGTAGAGCTAAAAACATTAGTAGGTCATGGTGACCTACTTTAAGATTGAAGTTTTCTGAGGACTCAAAATGCATTAATAGACAAACTAAGATTGAAGATTCTAAGCCAATATGTATTTGAGATATTCAAAAGTAGGTCACCTTGACCTACTTTTTGGTCTACATTCTTGGAAAACCCAAGATGCATCAACTAACAAAGTTTGATGATTCTAAGCCAATAAATACCTGAGATATTCAAAAGTATGTCACTGTGACCTACTTTTTGTTCGACATTCTCTGAAAACCCAAGAGGCATAAACAAACAAAGTTTGATGATTCTAAGCCAATAAGTACCGGAAATACTTAAATATAGCCATAAAATGTCAAAAGTAGGTCATCGTGACCTACTTTTTGGTCGACATTCTCCGATAACCCAAGATGCATCAACTGACAAAGTTTGATGATTCTAAGCAGATAAGTACTGGAGATACTTAAATATAGCCATTAAATGTCAAAAGTAGGTCATTGTGACCTTCTTTTTGGTTGACATTTATCAGAGGCCTAAGATGCATCTGCTGACCAAGTTTGATAATTCTAAGCCAATAAATACCTGAGATATTCAAAAGTAGGTCACTGTGACCTACTTTTTGGTCGACATTCTCTGAAAACCCAAGAGGCATAAACTAACAAAGTTTGATGATTCTAAACTGATAAGTACCAGAAATACATAAATATAGCCATTAAATGTCAAAAGTAGGTCACCGTGACCTACTTTTTGGTTGACATTCTCCAAAAACCCAAGATGCATCAACTGACAAAGTTTGATGATTCTAAGCCGATAGGTACTGGAGATACATAAATATAGCCATAAATATTGAAAGTAGGTCACCTTGACCTAATTTTTGGTCGTCACTCTCCGAAAATCCAAGATGCATCAACTCACAAAGTTTGATGATTCTAAGCCAATAAATACCTAAGATACTGAAATATAGCAATAAAATGTCAAAAGTAGGTCACAGTGACCTACATTTTGGTCATTTTTTAGAGTCCCAAGTGCATCAGCTGACCAAGTTTGATGATCATTGGTCTGAAGGTAATTAAAATATGTCTTTTAAACAATTTGAAAACAAATGCCTGCAAAATTCTAAAGTTGGTCACAGTGACCTACTTTTACTTAAATATGTTTTAAGGTCCCAAGATGCAGCAAGTTACAAGATTTGATGATTCTAACCCTCTCAGTGTCTGAAATAATGGGATGAAATGTTTTAAAAAGGATAAGTCATAAAGTTCAAAAAGTAGGTCACGGTGACCTACTTTTAAGTTGACGTTGTTCAAGGACCTAAGATGCATCAACTGACAAAGTTTGATGATCATAGGCCTTAAAGTGTCCTAAATATGCCTTCAAATCAATTTGAAAACAAATGCCCGCAAAATTAAAAAAGTAGGTCACCGTGACCTACTTTTGAATTAACATAATGTGAAGTCCTAAGATGCATCTACTTACAAGATTTGATGATCCTAGTCCTTATAGTAAGCAAAATATAGACATTTTCATTAATTGTAAATTTAGGTCAACTTTGAAGTGACCTTGAGACCACGCCCTTTGCCCCAGGGTCATGCCTTGAACAATTTTTAATATTCAACATATCCTGATCATTGTATGTAAGTTTGGTGAAAATCTGCCTGGTGGTTCTGGAGAAGAAGATTTTTTTGCAACCAGTACTTTTGGTTTTGTTTTCCTGATTATCTCCCCTTGTTTTAGGGTCCCAACCCTTATTTTAGTATAAATGGTAGCCCTTGGGCCAAGGATACCCTGTGACAAATTTGACACTGATTGGCCAAGGGGTTCTTGAGTTATGGCCCATATTCTAAAAAGTTAACGCACACCGCACGACGCACCGCACAAATGGCCATAGCATTAGCTCTTTGAGCCTTTGGCTCAGAAGAGCTAAAAAGTCAATGTTCTATTCTAAGATGCATGAAATAATTGAGATTTGCATTTGTGTTGATCTATTCAAAAGTACAGTCAGAACACTTTTTTATCAATATAAGTGACAACTGAACATTACTCATGCATGTAATTTTCTTCATTTTTCTTACTAGTATTATTGATCTGAAAGGAGATTTATGTCTTACTTTTCAACAAGACTGTTGTTCATAAAGTCAGACAGGGACTTAGGATCTGTGTTAAAGCTGAGTGTCCTCAAAAGAGTCACAATCTACAACAACAACAACAAAAATGTGTATTCAAAGCTACTTGTAATATGGTAAGAACTTGACCATGGGTACTGTATACATGTATGTGTAAACATGTAATTTTGAAAAGTTCAAATACATATGAATTTAACTAAGGTATTAGTTCTGCAATTCATGATCAATGTAAAGTAAAATACATGTACATACATGTGTGGTTTGCAATAATATACCAGTACATATAAAACCTATTGATCCAACTTCTGAATGACAAATTCACTAAATTGCCATGTTTTAAACATGCCAAAACATGTAAAACTGTAGTATACTTCTAATGTGTGAACACTAGAGGATGAAGACTGTTGGTTACCTCGTTCAGTCTGTTATCTTCCTCTGTCATGGACTGGTCGCCCTGTTGTAGAACCGAGAGAATCTCAAACCTCAGCACTGTCTGTAGCTGTAGTCTACAAAATTCGTCAGCTAGGTTTAAAAAGTGCAAATTATCTGTATACAAAATCTTGTACCTACGACTGTAAAAACAGAAAATTTTGTTAAGGATTAATTTTTGTTTATTTCATTGTTACAATTATCAATTTATATACATGTAATTTACAATTATCAATGATATCTAAATTAAATCCCACACGCAATTTTCATATGTCTATATATTGAATAGTTTTACTTCCAAAACGACGAGTTTTAATGCCAACGAAACCATTTAAGATAACAAATCAATAAAATTTGATCCTCATGAAAATAAGTGTTTCTACAGTATGTTCAATTGAGAAACAGATATTAAAAGTACTGTTAGTCACTTTTAAATGTAATTCATGAGAATTTTACTTTCAATTTTATTTTAAACACATTGTGTATACATAATGTATTTTCAGTCAGAGACTTGCTCTATCCATGTTTATCCATGTACCAGTACAGTGTCTTACATGTATCTATTTTCAGACTTACTCTAGCCGAGTCTGATATACATTGTCTTATATCCATGTATATGTGAAGTATTTTCAGTCTGAGAGACTTACTCTGTTCGTGTCCGACTTTTGCTTTCCTCTTTCTGATGTCTCTCTTTCAGGGATCCAATAGGAATAACTACTCCTCTCTCCAAAAGCTCAATACACTTTTCCTAAACAGAAAATTAATATTTATCTTCTATAGATCAGTTGTATAACTAAATCACACATCAATTTTTGTTTGATAAGTCAGAAATTACCTGGGGATTTTCCACATTCTTATCTTTTAAGTAATGCAATGGCACCATCACTAAACTCTGTGCTGCCAAGTAAAAATTTTCACATCCTTCCACTACCCTCTCATTGTAAGATTTGATCAAGTAGTCTACAAGTTCTTCTTCTGATGCAAACTCTACAAATAAATAAAAGTACTCTTACAGTATTGAAAGATGGGGTCATATTAAAACAAAGCAATTTCTATATTCTTTTCTTTAGCATAGATTTCTATCCATCAGCATGTCATTAACATGCATATTTACCAGTCTGAAAGCTGGTCATATCTGCACTGGTATTATTTTTGACTGTCTCTTGATTTTTCGTTACTGCAGAGTTGTCCTCCTTGAACACAGATGATCGCCTGCTCTTGTTCACCATTAGAACACCACGAGATGGCAGTGTATCTGTACTGTCTGATTCCGGCTGAGAGGGAGTCTCTTCTCCAAATTCTTTAACATTGAAAAATAATTGAAAGATACCAATGAGTCGTACTTCTTTATAAAATATATGTACATTTGATTTTCAGTAATTTCTGGCACTGGACTTGGGTATTATTTTATTTTTATTCTTCGAAATCCTTTCACAGTACTTTCCTTGATAACATTACTGTATTACTAAATAATATATCTGATGTTAAAATTCTTCATATGATGATTTATTTCTGATGTTAAAATACATTGGCATGATTACTAACCTTGCGTCTGGGGCTGTAAAGTCTCTCTTGGTCTGATGGGCTTATTCTCTTGTCGGTAAACTTGCTGTAGTTCTTTTAAAGTTTCAACTTCTTTTTCATTCAGAAATTCCAGTTGAGATATTCTTTGAAAATAGAAAAGAATACCGTATAAGTAGAATATTTAGCAAGGATTTAATTTTGCCATTATTAGCGATGGTGCTGAAATTGCTAAAATTGAATATCGTGAAAAATTAATTGCATATTATTTGCAATAGCTTCTTTAGTTAGCATTTTAAAATCGCTTAATTTACGTTTTGCTAAATATTGATTTTAGGTAGTAAACGCTAAATTTGCGTCTCGCTAAAATTTCCACTTGTATGGTCTGTAAGTAGGCCAACATTTACTTGAAAAATTTATCTTTTGGCAACGACATATTTGGAAGAACTGCTATAACAAAATTCATACAAAATACATTTTTTAAAATCTTGAAAAAATATGTTTGCAAGTTTTCATTAGCTTCAATAAATGCTGCCACATTGTTGGTAAAACGTACCTGTCGTTGAGTTTCTCAATTAGAGACACCAGACCTGATCTACATCCAGGTAAATGTGTCCTCCCCAGCACATTGGGATCAAAGCACTGTTTGTCTAGGAGGAAGAAAAGGGGAAAAAATTATATAGACTGCAAAATCTGACAATTAACAGCTGTAAAAATTCAAAGCAAAATCTGATGATGCAAAAGATTAACATATCTTAAAATATGTTTTTTAGTAATTTAAAGTTTGTGAATATTAGAAACTTATTGAAAAAAAGAAAAACTTTTTTCAACTCTTAATCAGTTTCTGGGTTTTAATCTTGGTCACTTTGTTTCATGCTTTATACATAGAGATAACAAGTACAAATACTTTAAATTTACAGTACAGAGTCTTGATGTAAATTTTTTTGTAATACTTTTCTGATCAATGGATGTGTCTGCACATTTGTTGCTATGTTGAACTGCTCTAGATATCAATTGATCCCATGATTTATCCTTCATAACTTTAGCTTCCTTTTTAGGTGAGGATTGTGAGCACAAAAGTTTTTTCTCCACATCCAGGGATCCGCTAAGGCAAAGTGAACTCAGTGTAGCTGATGTGGGGGTCAAAGGTCGCATGACAAACAAGACAGGGGTGCTCTTTGTCACTAAAATCTGAAATGGTTTAATAAATAATACATGTTCACATATCAAGAAAGTACATTAGTTAAGTAAGAGATCACTCTGTTATAATTCCTTTATAATTTTACAAAGGAAGGTAATGTCATTATTATGCATTTCATGTAAATTTTGTACCATTTGTAATGTATTATTTAGGGGGAGGGGAGGAAGATTGTGAAAAGAACCATTCATTTCATGAATTTAAGCAGACCGATAACTTATATCTCAGATTCCACAATAAACCTGTTATGAAATTTAATTTGGTTTTTTTTTCAGAGTTGTGTTCTAAAACAGCTTTTATCAGGAGGCTCTTGGGTCACAAAGCTTGCCTGAGTAACTTTATCTTTGAATCATAGTTTACTTTACTACAGGTGCTTTTAGAAAATAAACCAGCCCTAACATTAAAAAAAAACTTTTGACCGGGGGTATGACATAGTACATTGTATTGTACTAGCTACTGAATTTTGTTTTGTTAGGAAAGATAAATTGGCCTAATTTCCAAAAGATTTCAATGGCTATGGTGTTTTTTTCTTATTTCTTTTTTTATCTAAAATTTGATTTCAAACAAAAGTTTCCACATTGAAGTACAAACCAAAGCTTGAGCTGATGCTATTAGCTTCCTTATCAAGTCTTCAAATTGCAGCAGACAGATGCCTTCCATTTCTGTATCATCCCCAGAACAGATGAAATCCTCTCCATATTTGTGCATTACAAATTCAGTATCTCTTAAAGGAAGAACTGCATACATCCTGAAGGAAAAACAAAAAATTCTCATAATTGATTAGAATACTGTAAATTCCTAATTATACATGAGGAATTTATTATTGGGTAATTCCGCGAGAAGAATCACTCATGAAATAAAATGTGTCCCTTTTGTTTTTAAGGTGATGAAATCCATGTAAATTCTCTTGAGCAAGCGCCCTTGTGAATCATTATTCTTGCAATTTGATGTTTAAGAGACATTTCGTGATTATAAGTACTAGCGAAAAATAAGGAATCTGTAATAGACAAATACAATGTTTCCATGTACATTGTAAGATTACCAACAAACAAGTGTCACACTTTTTGACTTCAATAAATTGCTGCAAATACTTAAGAAACAAATCATATTATTCAGTAAACATGATGAATTGATATAAATAGCAATTGGTCCACTGGCATATTCTATTTCAGATGTGTTTCATAAATATTTCATAAAGTACATGTATTTAAGAAAAAACTTCCAAGATATTACCAGATTTCAACTGTATATTGTATTTTATAGGAGACTCTTAATCAATTTTGTATTAATTCAAAGTAAGATTACAAATGGCTTTCATATAATGAACCATCACAAGTTCTGCCTCCCTGCAGTTTTACTATACCTTAGAGTTATGCTGTTATCATTTAGAGGTAACAAAGAATGTTTTTCCTGAGCAGTTAAATTGTCCTTTGGACAACTTTTGTGTCGTTGAGGCGACCTTGTACTGTAAAAGAACAAAATATATGATTTTTTTTAACTGATTTCAACCACTAACAAGTTATATTCAAAGCATATAAATGAATAGTCCAGTAATGAGTTTATAGAATGGTCATGTTCAAACTTAAAAGATAGGAATAAAATGTTTAAAAAAGCATGTTTAAAACATTCAATAATATCAAATTGTACTCTAAGGAAACAAAACATTTTTTACATTAAATCAATAATGAAATGGAAAGCATCATAGTGCTGACTAACAACAATTTTAACTCTGTGTTCAGTCACCTTGCATTCAGTGTTGTAGCTTGTGTAGGAGAAATTGTGAATTGGCACATCAGCGAGTCTTCTGTCAAAAAAAAAAATCATTGAAAACAGGCACTGATAAACTAACTCATCACCTTATCATTAATTGTACCATATCCATCATTGAAAAGTAAACCTAGTGAATTAAATGAAATTGATATTTAATCAATAAAGTATCATCACAGGATAATAAATACTGTAGGTTTCATTATACATCTATAAGTAATTAATTTATTGAAAATATACAAAGTATAATGATATCAATTATCATGGTTCATACCACTTGATGTGAGAGTACACTTGATTGTGGAGGATTTGACAGCCTCAGCTCGTAACTTGTACTGATGTTGTTGTAGATGATATTCTATCACAGAGGTGTAGGAAACCAGTCCCATGACAGCCGATGGATCTTTCTGGGTGTGTGGAACACCTTCAACTGGAGTTAGACTTGAGAAAATATTTCCAATGCACTGTCTATTCGACTGAACCAATGATTCCACTGGTATAAGGCTTCCATGGAGTTTATGGATGGCAGTTTCCACAAATTGGACACTCTCTGGGTTTACATCAAACTGCAGAAGTATACATGATTGATATATACAAATTTGTGTTTTAAATTCTAAATTCTTTGATCCAATATAAACAAAATTACAAATCAGGGATGGGGTAATCGTAATCAGTAATCGTAATCAGCTGTAATCGATTACTGTTTGCCAAGTAATCATGAGTAATCAGTAATCATCCATTTTTCTGATTACAAGTAATCGTAATTTAATCGATTACTCTCAAAAAAGTCTTGTAATCATGATTACTTTTTGATTACTTTATGATTACAATGAATAAAAAAGTTCGTAAGATGATGGTTTTAAATGATATTTAGAAAATATATTTCAGTGTGCAATTTTTTTTTATAAGCAAAAATTTTGATAAAAATTATAGGCTATATCTATAGCTTTATTTTCTATTGCCTTCAGAAATACTTTCAATCAGTTTCATTGACTAGGCAATTAGTAAAATCTCTCAGTTCCTAGCTATATTCAGTTGTCATTTCAAATACTTTTGCATCTAAGCAATTCGTCTTGTGGTACTAGATATATATACTGAGGAATATTGCCACAGGATCATTTTAAATTTTGACTTTTTTTGTTTCATGAACATGTTGTATGCAATGCACCTTTTTTTTACCTCATATAAACACAGTAAATCTTTAAATATACAAATAAATTTTATCCAATGTATCTTTCTGATGTGTATTCTAATAAGAATTGTAACTTTGTTTACTTTACTAAAAATAAGTTAATTAATTAGCAAAAAAAACACAGGTGTACTAAAGAAGGGCAGCTGGGGTAATGATAACAATAGTGAACTAATTATGCTTGTCCATGTGTTAATTCTAGTAAAAACATTGAGCAATTGGCAGTTAAATTGAAAGGTATATCACACAGATCAAAATGGTCAATTATACACATACAACAGATCTTTATTGAATCCCTTAAACTATAATATGTCTCATTTGATTGACAAATTAGAAATATTTTTTACTCAGTAATAACACAGATATTTACAAGTACAAGTATATATGATAGAAATAAGATGATCAGATTAACCACCTTGAGCATCTATATAAAGACATATGTAACCAAGCTTGATCTGAACGCTTCCTTTAAAATGTGAATGATTAAAATAAATTTTCAGAACATTAAACTTTTTTTTTTGAATTAATGTAATCTAGAGTAATCACAAGTAATCATGATTACATGATGGAAAAGTAATCAGATGTAATTGATTACTTTTAAGAATGGCTGTAATCAGCTAGTAATCGATTACTTTTAAAATCCAAAGTAATTGTAATTTAATCGATTACTTTTGAAAGTAATCGACCCCATCCCTGTTACAGTCAGGGGTGTGATTGAAATCCATCATTTTTAAAAATGATGATTTTCAGTCATTAAATTGATTTTTAATAATGATGGAAATTCATCTTTTTTTAGTAAAATGATGAAAAACAGTCATTTCTATTTTGAAATTTATTTTAGAAATAGAGTTATCTCTGATATTAAAAATGAGCGCACTTAATTATCTCATTAGTTTTACGGGGCGCACTAAATTATTTTGGTTTCAATTACTTGTCAAGATGTTTCTCTACACAAGGGTCTATGGCAGGATAGTGTACTATATCTAATTACTGTAGTAAATGGGATGGGAAAATTGACTTGAGAATGGAAATATGATGAAAAGACGTCATATTTACAAAAATCAGAAAATTGTGTACATTATATACTTAGAAGAAATGACCATTATCCATCATTTTCAAAAATGACTGATTTCAGTACCACCCCTGACTGTGTTACAAATTATAAGTTTAACAATTAAATCATTCTTTTATTGACTGAAGTATACTTACAAAGAAAACATCAGTGTCTATCCAGTTCAGTGAGAGCCTGATTTTATGAGAAAATGTGCTTATTAAGTCTGGAGGCATGAAAGAATCCAGAAAGATTTCATCATCAAGTACAACTTTTCCTGAAAACTGTCTTAATCCTATAGGATTTTTTGGACTGTTCGCAAATAAAAACACAAAATTTTCTGTTTTGTTGTGATTTTCATTTTTAGCACTCTTTCTTCGACTTTTTACTGGTGAGAAGATATCAGGATCTTCCCACTGATAATCCAGAACAATTTCATTAAGAACCTTATTCAGTATATTCGCTGGGTACTGTTTTCCATGTTTATGACCTTCAGAGTCAATATCTGTCTGAATATCCTGTATTGACGTCTCGATATTTCTCTCAACTTCATTTTCAAATTCTTCAAAGTACCTGGTTTTGAATTCTTTGAAAAGGTTCACAAGTCTCTTCAATCTGTATTGTGAGGAATTGTAAATCTTGTAACTCCATTTCAAGTGTGGGGTTTTGTTACCTCTTTTTAAATTCGATTTACTTGTGACTCTGTCGTTTAAAGCGGTCAGGATTCGAAAGGCTGAAAGAGTTACTCTGTTAGCCAAAACTTTCGCTTCATTTTTCACGTCTTGTCCACAAACGCCTTGATTGCCATCAACCAGAAAAAGTATTTTACATTTCACTGAAGATTCTGACATCCTTAAAAAGATACCTTTATTCTTACTTCATCTTTCTTGTTATGACTTTAAACAGTCTGATGATCAATGTAGGATTCCTAGTGAATAGTTTACAGGTTAAGATAATGATACAAAGACAATGTTTTTACTTTCAGTTGAATTTGCCGCCGCCATATTTCTTTTCTTCCGGCTACATAGTCGTACGAGGAATTTTCGATTCGCTCACACTTCACGAAAGCCTATTAGGATCTATGCAATTTTAAAACACTTTCAAAAATTAAAAAAATTGAATTCTATTCAGAACCCCTAACTAGTGCTTTTCAATTTACTTGAGTATATACTGTCAATATAATCTGCAATATAAAAACACATGTACTATTAGCAGGGACCTACATAGCTGGTATATTATAGGTCCCTGCTATTAGTGATATTTCAAACTAAAGAAAAAAATACATAAACTGAAGAATATGTCAAAACTAGAGCATGTAGAGGGTTTTGCTAAGCCCATCTGATCTTGTAAAAAAAAAAAAAGTATTAATTTAATTTTAAAAACGATAAAAAAGTGTTGACTAATACATGTAGTTTATTCAAATAGTTTTAAAAAACATGCATTTTATCAGCAAAAGAATATTGCTGAGCAGCACCGTAACTATGCAGTTCTCTGTTGTTGGTACATGTACCTGACTACATGTACTGTACACATATGACCTTGTGACAAGATGCACGGACTATCCTAATCTCTCTGTTGATTACCTGTGCGGTCAAGCGGAAAGTGATTTCCTGTTACGTAGTTGATGTATATTTCACAGTTGTACAGAACAATGGGTTCGTGTTTATTGGAGTCATGTATCAATGCAACAAAATGATAAAATGACACTTGTTAAAAAACAAAAAGACCCCCCCACCCCACCCCACCCTGAATCCGCCACTGATGTACTCTAAAGTACTCTATCGTACCACAGGTGCTTGAGGACAGGACCCCCCCCCCCAATACAGACCCCCGGGCCTGTTGGACTTTTTCACATAAATTATATATGGGTGACATATTTGTGATATAATCTATCCTATCAATTCAGAAAATTTGCTTAAACTTACATTTTATAAAAATATCTACCCTCTCTATATATAAATTGTTGATTTTTATATAGAGAATGTAGGGTAGATTTAATAGAACGTTTGTTTTAGGTAATTTTTCGATTTGCTGGTAAAGATCTTATCACAAATATGGCAACGAAAGATTTTTTATAAGAAAAAAATCGAAAAAGCCCAGGGGTCTATATCGAAGGGGGGGGGGGGGGTCCTGTCCTCAAGCACCTGTGTATCGTACGTACTAGCTTACTCTGTTTAGCAGGTTGGGACCAATCGCCCAAATGGGATATAATAGTCCATTTGCGATATAATATCCCAAATGGGCTATAAATTTACAGTGCAAAAATTGAAAATTTTTATTTTGGTAGTAAATATCATAAATCTGCATCAGGACACTTAAAAAGGAATAACTTTTGGTTGACAAGTTTTCCTGTATGCCCATTGTTTATAGGAGATTATAACTGATCCCTCGAAAGTTCCTTAAATTCTTGGGGATCAATCTAACAAACGGTAGGGTTGCAGAAAAACTTATAAAATTAAACAAAATTAAGAAATTATAGGTATAAAAATATAATTACAATTTGATATAACTGATTTTTTAACCGATTTTGCAATTAATAGGTAGGTTAACGTCGTTGAGTGTGTTTTTGACGTTATGATAATCTGTAGCTCTTAAAGAAAGGGGTAATAAAAATATTGTTAAGAAAAAAGTAATAAACATACACTCTTGAAATTTAAAACATAGAAATTCGAGAATATCTCCAATATTTTTGTCATGTTTTCATGTGAATCCATTGTGTACGTCATATTTTGTAATTCTCTATAAAAATAGAAAAATTTGCTAATTTTTTGCATTTTGAGATGCCCCCTGGTAACAAAACGGTAGAATTTCGTGTGTATAATATAGTATTACTCATCAAATATTATAGTTTGAACAAAATGTCTATTGTAGTATTTGTATAATTTGCTTTAGAGTGCTAAAAATTGGCATTTTCCTATATAATCCTATAGTAAATGTACCTGTATTTTGAGACGGTCCCTCAAAAATACCTGGACGGTAGATTTCCCCCAAACTTTGCATGTACACTGAGGTTAATGTAAGTTATATGTGGTATAAAAATAAAGTGTTTCCCTATTGTAGTTTTCACACAATAAAACTATAGTCGGTCCCCTTTTTGATGCGGATTTATATTTATTACCAAAATAAAAATTTCCAATTTTTGCACTGTAAATTTATAGCCATTTGGGCGATTGGTCCCAACCTGTTTAGTAGGACCGAAATTGCGAAGTTTTAGTAAAATCATTTTTTTTAAATTTGGTTTTCGATAAAGTTTTGCGTAGTAACTTGAAATTTTCAAAGGGGGGGGGGTGCGAAAGCTTTGCGTTGTAAAGCGAAGGTTAGGCTTTCTTCGCGAATGTTTCGCGTTATGATGCGAAAATTTCACGCATTTATCATTCGCAAAACTTCCACGTTAATTTTTCTTTTTGACATCATAGTACAAACAACATAAACTTTTCATTTATAAAACCTGCATTATGGCTATTTTTGCCACATTTAACTGCTTAAAATAGTAAAGTTAATTTTTTTTATAACATTTGAATAATGAATGAGCATGCTAACCTTATCACACCCCCTCCCAAAGAGAGAGAGAGAGAGAGAGAGAGAGAGAGAGAGAGAGAGAGAGAGAGAGAGAGAGAGAGAGAGAGAGAGAGAGAGTGAGGGAGGGGAGATAGGGAGTGTGGAGGGAGGGATTGTGAGGGAGAGAGGGAGTATGGAGGGAGAGATTGTGAGGAAGAGAGGGAGTAAGAGAGAGATGAGAGGGGAAGTGGGGAGAGAGAGAGAGAGAGATTAAAAGCAATAATCAACATATAGTGTAAAACTCCACAAGGGGAAACTATCTCACACGGTTGATTAAATAGCATTATATGGTGGCATATTTCTGCCCTCCCCCCCATGCAAGAAAAATTATGTTAACATGCAAGAAAAATACTACTAAATATATTCACTTGTCAATTTCAATAGTCTTCTATACGACTAGTACTGTTCCAATAAAGATATATAATATAAATGATATTATCTTGACATTTGACTTTTCTGTTCTTGCACCTTACATATTCCCATAGTCTTGAGAACTGAACTTTTTTGGTGCCGGGGAAACATCGATTTTTTTTTTCATCAGTACATTTTTTTTTCACTAGATCTGATATAGAAATTTTTCTCAATTTATTTTAGAGAAATGGCTAAAAAATATTTAGAGCGTATAATCACTGCAATAAAATGAAAGCAAATATCAAAAAGAAAATACAGTTTATTTCTTTTTCTCCAATTTCCTCTGTTAGACTTTTAATAATTCTCATCTAAAGCGGAGACACCTTCGTGGATGATTACATTGTAAGTATATAATAATGCTAAAAAATAAATTTTAAAAAAGCAAATACAAAACAACAGTGACGTATTAATGAATCAACAACTTAATTTCTTAAATTTATATTTAAAATAAACTGTGTCCTAGCGAGTAAATTAGGATTTTCAGATGACGCTTACTACACGTTAAACGTATGACGTCGCGTCAAAATTCTTCGTAAATTCTCGACGTTCTGCTATAAAAGGTACAGCATTGAGCGTTATTTTTCCAATGCATACTTTTGAGTCAGGTATATAAATTATATATCATTTAATTCTAAAATTTCTAAGCTCTTTAAAATGTTTGGAACGGAGCAGTTCTGACATCCGGCATTTTTTTGGCCAATACCCTACTTTGTTCTTTGCACTTTCAGAAAATAATGTTAACATCCAAGTTACCAATCTTATTATAATATTAATATTGGAAAAATAACTTACTAATATCAATATATGATATCATACATGCATGCAAAATGCAACGTAATATGAATTTAAATGACATATATGTCGTTGTTGTTGTCCCACTGGTCTAGCTGCAGATCTGTAGCGTTATGGTTTTATATATTTGTCTTTGACCATAACGCTACAGATCCCCTAATGCAAAAAAGGTGCAATTTACGGCGCAATATTTTTTGCGCTCTTTTGGGGAGAATTTCACCACTTTCCAGCATCGTTCAATCAAATACCTTTCAACCCCTAATTCTAGACACATTATTTAATTAATCTGTATATTTTATCCATATCCCAACCCTTTATAGTCGTCTCTACAAGTGATAAACTCGCTTGATTAAAATTATCTGTTAGATTACTGAAAATTCATATCCAGCGAGTTTATTGCCTGTAGAGACAACTATAAATGGTTTGGAGGTGGATAAACTATATACATATTGGCTACAGAATGTGTCTAGAATTAGAACGTGAAAGTATACTTGATTGACCAATGCAAGAAAGTGGAGAAATTCTCCCCAAAAGAGCGCAAAAAATATTGCGCCGTAAATTGCACCTTTTTTGCACTACGGGATCTGTAGCGTTATGGTCAAAGACAAATATATAAAACCATAACGCTACAGATCTGCAGCTACCACTGGTCAACATGGAATTCATTTGCTATAATAATATGAGCCCCCCCCCCTCCCCTTGTAGCTACATTATTGCAGCCAGGAATTCATCTTTGGGATGAAAAGAAGAAAATTTTTGGTGATCAGTGTATCATCTTTAATTTATTTACATTTCCAAAAAAACACCTCGGATACTAAGCTGAAATACACTTGAATTCCCATTCACGGAACGAGTTAATATTTTTTCTTTTGGACACGGACCAATGAATTTGGTCCATTTATTCACGCCGTGTGCGTTGCTAGTACAAGCGATCGGGTTCCGATCAATCAATCGTAACAAATCAAGACATGTTGTCCATTTATGAATCAGAGGGGATGAGTCCATTCATATTTTTTCAGCTTTAAGTTTAGCTTCTGAAAAGAGTCGGTAAGTAAAAATTTAAAGTAGTTTTAATGTTCCATATTCGGGACGTTGCAACGTCACTTCTTATCACATGTAAGATGTAAACAGTCAGGTATGTTGTCATCGTACAAATATTTCTGATCTTTCGTAAAGAAATGGTTTCATGCCATTTTCTCCATGAGTATGCTGTATTTTTCAGTCTTGGGATGAACGAAAATGTGGCTCTGATATTTCACGAAAATACCTTGTTATTAATTTACGTGTATTACTTTTACCTGTAGAGAATATTACATGTAAAGTTACTTTTGAAGATGTTATTAATTTAGCAATGCTCTGATAAATGTTGAGAATGTTATGTAGCATATACATGTATATATCTGTTTATATATCTTATATTGAAAACTGCCCAGAAATTTACCCTCTGTGATGTGTCAACTATATACTGTGTTCACCAAAAATTGCTAAAAATGTTGAGTTAGTCATATTTTGAAATATTTGCTACTGAACTATATCACCTCAGGGTCCAGACAGGACTAGGTTACTTTTACAGAAAAAATTTTTGTTTCCAGTATTGGGTCTCAGAAAACGACAGAATTCCAATTTCTGAATACAGCTAGTAAAACATGTTTAAAGCAAACTTATAATGCATTAATTGAGGCTTATAGCATAGTGATCTTCATTACTCTTGGGTTTTAAACATATTGTGAAGCTAACAAATATAACAAATTATTAGTTTATAATGAAGCAAAATTGCCCGTCCCTGCCTATTGCATGGTTATAAGTGTGTTTTACTCACAGTACTCATCATATACTTACAGTCTATTACATAATAAACACAATGCATAATACCACTTTTTATTGAATGATATATCAAGTGATACAGGCCTGATGGTCGGAGTGTTTAAACCCCTATTATAAAAATGTACTTTGTTACATTGTACATAACATGTTATTATGATAAAAAAAATCATTTACTTACGTAAATGCCATAAATAAAAAAAAAATATTAATAAGATATTGAAAACAAAAGGGGTAGGCAGTATGGGTTTTACCACATATTCTCTAATATATATCATACATCCCCATGGATTTTCATGCAGCTCGATGGTATGTTATATGTTTTCTATTCTGAATTCGAATTTTGCTCCTCAGGTTCACCCCCCTAAGAACAACTTTGAAGCCACCAGTTACAGAATACAACACAATCACACTATTCTGCTTATTAAATATATTAAGATGATGGAGGACTACAAAACATTTATCAATCAATCTTTCAGTGATACATACAGTATTTTTGTAAGTCTATCCATGGCAATTACTTGTTATCACCAGAAGTACCCATTATCACCAACATTACCAGAGTACTCAGGTGATGAACTGTATTTTTCAGACATGGATTTCTTGGCTTTATTTTAAATCAGAATTCCATATAGGTTGTTCATTTGTATTCTTTTTTCTTTTTTTTTTGTAAGTTTCTTGATATTTTCTGAGCTTACTGTTTAATTTTATCACTGATAAATCTGTCATGGCTCAAAATTTTACCTTCTTATTATATGATTCAGGGTATAAATTGGAATTTAGGAGTTTGCCAGGGAAATTAGCTACTGTTGAAAACCTTGGATCACAGAATCAGAGAAAGGTCTTTAAATAAATGGAACTCTGAAAATAAAAAAAAAAAAAGAGAATTAAAGGTCAATACAATGTTGCAATGCCATATACATGTACCAGTAAAATGTAATTCAAATTAATAAGTTAAAGAGATAATTTTGGTTAAAAAATTAAGTGCCAGGAAATGTCCGCAGTGCAAGATTTGCCTCAGAGCTTCTGGGGATCTATGGGCACTTAGCCCCCCCCCCTTCCCCCTCAAGCTATATCTTTTCACTTCACTCCACAGGTACCAGATAATTTTGAATAGTTCTGAGATATAAGGTATGGGACTTGGCAAAAATGCATATGCAATAAGTCGCACAAAAAATTAAAGGAATTTGTAACAATTTTGAATCCTGTGGTAAGAACTAACATATATCACGTACATTGAGAACAGCGCTATCTGTATAATTCATTTGTATTATTAAAAGCTCATAAGCTCAGATTGTTTTAAAACATGTTTGAAGAATTGTTCAAGCAAATTAGATAGGTGTTTTTTGCCAGAATATGATGTAAATTACAGACTTGGACATATTTTATACTTTAATAAAAATTTAATTTGCTCATATTATCTAATTAAAATGTACTTCTTCACATAGATATTTGGAGTTTATATGTCACACTGACATGTGATAACTAAATGACTAATATTGGAGTGAAATACCCCTGGTATACCAGTATTTCACATATAATATGTAATAGTTTGGGCCGTGGATATCAACCTGGATAACTCAGTCGGTAAAGCATCTGACTAGTGATGCAGGGGTCCTGGGTTTGATTCCCAGTCCAGCTATACACTTTCTCCTATCCCGTAACATTTGGTTCCATGCCATGCTCTTGAAGTGACAGGTGAGAGGCCTGCTAGGGATGAGCCTTGGTTGGGGTCTTTGCCCATCTTTGGGGAGGGGGGGGGGGGCAAAGATCTCTAAGGAGGGAAGAATGTGACGGTCAGCTGATTTCGATTGCTAGTGGCCAGATAGCTTAGTCAGTAAGCAACTGACTGGAGATTCGGGGGGCCCGGGTTCGTCGTGAGTCTTGGTCTGGTCTGCTGCGTTTTTCTTCTTTCCTGTTACAAATATATACAATTGTGACAGAGCTGCATCTTCATTAATGTTAATTATCATCCTTAAACATTAAAAAACACAACTGCAAGATGTCAATATTTTGTAAAGATAACTTGTATTCCAATGGTACTTTAACTTGCATTGATCAACTTATAATATTGGGACTGATCAATACAACTATTGTTTATAAATCATGTTTACGTTCAGTTCTTTATATTTAACTCTCATCAAGTTAAACATGTTAAAAGTTGTTGTCATTAATTATATGTTGACTGACAGAGGATTCTTATATCACAGAAATGTTTTGTAGTGTCATTACAAGACAATGTAGTCAAATGAGTGATATTCAGATTAGAAATAAAATGATTCTTAGAAAGTGAAAACAAATCAGAAATAATGATTCCTTATCATTCATAAGCTAAGTAAAAGATGACACTGTCATGTTTGTTTAGTATTTTTTGGCAATTGACTTACATTGCACATGTATTGGTATATCATTGTTAAATAACAAGGGCAAAAAGGTTTTTTTTTTTTTTTTTTCAAACTAATTAAGCCATGTAAAAAAGTGGGGACACACTATGTCATCACAAAGTCATTGGTAAGAAAACTTTTTTATGTTGATCATAAGTTGTTAAAGTTGTAAATATACATGTAGAACTGTAAACCAGTTTGTTAAAACTTAAATTGCCTTATAAAGTTTGGGATATGAAAAAATCTTTAGAAAAGAATTATTGAGTAAATTGAACCTGCAATTGTAGCCATATAGTCCTCATTTCAACACAACCAAAGATGCAAAAGCATGTTCATGTTAATCACAGGACCAATAATAATGAATTGGTATATAGTGTGGTGAAAAAAAAAATATAGTCAAAAAATAAAACTCCCCTCCTTTTGTTAGTATATATCTGCGAGGCCTGATAAAGTAATTGTATTTCAGATATTTCTGATAGAATCTGATGACATCTGAAGTCAATAGGAAATAGTGAAATAGGATGGACTATCTGTTTCAACACTAATGTACAGGTGCATATTTTTTAATCTGTCAACATCAGAGTTGAAGTGGATAATTATATATTCAGGAATTAGATGACGGATGTAACAATTTTTAAATTAATGTGTGAATGAGGTGTTATACCTACAAAAATCCACTTAGTGATATCTGAACTATTTTCATGGTTTTGTAATGTATTTTTTAGTAAAATTTACTGTCTAATAATGTGCCAGTGTACGTGGCATAATTTGATGTAGAGTGCTTCAGTCATGATGTGTTCACTTGATGTGTCCATTGTAAACTACTGAAAGAACCCCTCCTAGGTAAAGAACATAATGAATTTAATTCTGAATCTCATTCCTACAAACACTACAATGTTAGTAGTAAGTGACCTTGAAAGCCTTAATCAATATTTGGTTTAAATCCCATGATCCTTTTTAAATGATATTCTCTGGATATAGTCCATGCACTTCTGAATTTCGCAATTAGTTTTTAAATTCATCTACCATTGGATTGAACTGTTATATGAGCCTATACAGTGCACATGTTTTAATAATCATGCAGTAGTAGATTTTAAAAAATGAAGATGCCGTGCAGTTCTTGATTTTCTGGACTTAAGGAACCCTAATAGCTGGTATATTTTATGGCAAGTGTGGGCTATTAATTGAGTATAAACATAATATAAGGGACCAGTAAATAATTCTGAGGGCATGGATTGTATTGGATAAATCCTAGTCAAATTATTTTTTAAGGTAAATGGGGTATGTCTTTACTCATCTTTATTATTCTGCTTATAGACATAAGGAGATAAATGTTATGTACATAAAAAAATTACTGTCACTTGTATTTTTAACCAGTTGTGGTCTCTTAGATATAAGAATATCATTATGGTATCCTATATCTGAGATTTTTGTACCAATCTGCTTTAAGTAAACTACCTGTTGTCATCTTTTATTATCAGATTTGTAGGACTAATAGTTGTTTTTACCTGTTCCATGTCTTTGCATGAATTATAATTAATTTCTGTTTTGTTTTATTCAAACTAAGACAAACACAGTTGACAATCATAGGTCCAATGGATCTTTTATTCTCCAACAGTTTGTTCGTAAGCTTAATAATATGGTTAAGTTAGATCATAATTGTTTCAGCAACAGATTTTATGTATATCATTTCAGTCTATTTGAAATCGTTGGGGACACTCTCTGAATCACCAGTGATCAGTGTCAACACCTGCTGCGAATATTAACTTTTTAGCTCACCTGAGCCGAAGGCTCAAGTGAGCTATTCTGATCAAAATTTGTCCGTCATCTGTCGTCGTCGTT